AACAGAAAGTGTCGTTTTCGATCTTCTGTTAAACTGCAGGTTCACTTGTCCACCAGCAGAGGGTGGTATAGGCTATAGGTATAGGAGTCCCTGCGGTCCGCTGACTGGCTGGACAGACGGACAGTAGCCTTGGCAACCCAGTTAATTCTCTACAGCCCCCCCAGCAACCTGGGTCTACCATTCACACCTCAGCCTGTGTCCAGTCAGCTAGAGTCTACCATTCACCTACTGCATGGGACTACTTGAGTATGGCATTGTGGTCCTCTGTAGCTCAGCTGGTAGAGCACGGCGCTTGTAACGCCAGGGTAGTGGGTTCGATCCCCGGGACCACCCATACACAAAAATGTATGCACGTATGACTGTAAGTCGCTTTAGATAAAAGCGTCTGCTAAATGGCATATTATTATTATGCCAGGTAACACCCAAGTTTTGTATTTTTTTTGCGATTTGTCCATCATATTCTATTTGCGGGCCAGAAAAAGGCTAGTTATTTGTAAATATATAGGTCCATTATGGCCTGGAGTGTTTTTTTAAACCCAAAATATCATATTTGAGCTGTAGCCTGACCATGTCTGACAATGAAATTGCAGACATGGTCTACTCTTCCTCTCCTCATGGGCTTTTCCTGATTCATCATTAAAGTGATTATCAGTCCTGGACAGCCTCATAGTTTAAATCCTGTGTTAACCTTCATCTCTCCTCTTCAACTCCTATTTCCTCCTCATCTCTCTGGTCCAGCTCTTCCTCCAGATCTGTTCTGCCGGGGTGAAAGGCATGCTGGGATACTGGAGAGACCCAGAGCTGGCTCCAGGTGAGAGAGAACCCCCCCCCCCCCGCCCCCCTTCTCTCATATATAAAGTAATACATTCTCTTTAAACCTCTTTTGGTTTACAGAGAATATACTGCTCTTCCTCCTGGTGGTGTTTGTGTGTGTGTGTGTTTCCAGGGTTTCCAGAACCATGGCCGCCTCAGTGACTCTACTCAGACACACCTTCTCCAGGCTCCTCTGGCCAATGGTAAACAACCCACAGACAGGGCGACCTTTCACCTTTAACCTTTACCCACACACACTCCACATGGGGACTATCTATAATAATCAATTTAGAAAATGTTGAACAAATTTCAAGTGACAGTTCAGTACTTCAAGTGAAAGTCAAAATGTACATTATATTTCTAGGGTGTGTCCTGATGTTTGTACCCTTTTTACTCGGTCCCCAGGTGTCCGGAGCTGTCCTGTTGGTGGCTCTGTGCTCTGTGGAGAACCTGGGGGTTCAGCTCCCTGGCCCGCCCCCTTCCTCACCCTCCTGTCCCTCTACAGGGGCCAACTGGGCTCCTGGACCCCCCTCCCTGTCCATGTCTCTCTCCTCTCAGCCCCATCAGCTCCACAGCTCCAACAGCCTGTCTGTCTCTCTCTACCACTGAGCTCTATGTCTCACCCTCAATGTGGCCTGGACAGCACTGGTACACATTCAACTGTTTATGCCCACAGGAGAGTAAGTGACCTTTGACCTCCGTGCTAATCTCACATATAAATATTGTCCAATATAGGATTGCTTTGCTTTGACTGTCAATGAAACTAGAGAACAGGTTGAGGTTGATATTGGGGTAGGAAAGTGGTTAAAATCTTTATGTCTATTGACACACCTATGTGTAAATCTAATTAACATAATACAAAAATCCCCATCAAAATCCGTCAGTTTAAGCTATCTGTTTTTTTGTATGGGCTGTGTCTCAATCCACCGCATCCGCTTATGTTGGCATTCAGCATCTGTGGTAGAAAGTGGCAGAGCTACAGCGCTGTTAGTCAGACCAGGAGACATCCTGAAAATCAGTCTTCTCACGAAAACGTCTGTAGCGTCCGAACAGTTTGGCCTACTAACTAATGATGACTTTATGGAAAGATGAGACTCTCCGTTTTGCTCTACGAAGAGTTGGCACATCGGCGGTACAGACTTCAGACGAGTTCCAACTTCTGTCTGTAGCGTCCGAACCTTCTGTCTGTAGCATCCGGGAAATCATTCTGGCCTACTAACCCCCACAAGTGTCATGGGACTCTTCTGAATGTAACCTGGTACCAGTTTAAAAAATGAATGGAAGTATGGAGGTAGTTTTGTGCCAACATAAAAAAAAGATGTGTCCAAAAATATTAAATATATATTGATCTTTCTTATATCGCCTAGATATAGGACAGACACTTCTGGGGCCACTCGATCGGAAAGGAGGCAGAACGCACGTTAAGCTTTCCTGAATAACTGGACCTGCTGGGACCATAGATCTGTGTGGCCACACTATACACTGAGTGTATAAAACATTAAGATCAGCTTTAACACTGCAGTTAGACTGTGGCTTCCACCAATGTAATTGTCTGCATCATTACTAATCCCCCATATTTTTTGTAAATATATACAGTGGGGAGAAGAAGTATTTGATACACTGCCGATTTTACAGGTTTTCCTACTTACAAAGCATGTAGAGGTCTGTAATTTTTTATCATAGGTACACTTCAACTGTGAGAGACGGAATCTAAAACAAAAATCCAGAAAATCACATTGTATGATTTTTAAGTAATTAATTTGCATTTTATTGCATGACATAAGTATTTGATACATCAGAAAAGCAGAACTTAATATTTGGTACAGAAACCTTTGTTTGCAATTACAGAGATCATACGTTTCCTGTAGGTCTTGACCAGGTTTGCACACACTGCAGCAGGGATTTTGGCCCACTACATACAGACCTTCTCCAGATCCTTCAGGTTTCGGGGCTGTCACTGGGCAATATGAACTTTCAGCTCCCTCAAAAGATTTTCTATTGGGTTCAGAGGTCTGGGGACTGGCTAGGCCACTCCAGGACCTTGAGATGCTTCTTACGGAGCCACTCCTTAGTTGCCCTGGCTGTGTGTTTCGGGTCGTTGTCATGCTGGAAGACCCAGCCACGACCCATCTTCAATGCTCTTACTGAGGGAAGGAGGTTGTTGGCCAAGATCTCGCGATACATGGCCCCATCCATCCTCCCCTCAATACGGTGCAGTCGTCCTGTCCCCTTTGCAGAAAAGCATCCCCAAAGAATGATGTTTCCACCTCCATGCTTCACAGTTGGGATGGTGTTCTTGGGGTTGTACTCATCCTTCTTCTTCCTCCAAACAGTGGAGTTTAGACCAAAAAGCTCTATTTTTGTCTCATCAGACCACATGACCTTCTCCCATTCCTCCTCTGGATCATCCAGATGGTCATTGGCAAACGTCAGACGGGCCTGGACATGCGCTGGCTTGAGCAGGGGGACCTTGCGTGCGCTGCAGGATTTTAATCCATGACGGCGTAGTGTGTTACTAATGGTTTTCTTTGAGACTGTGGTCCCAGCTCTCTTCAGGTCATTGACCAGGTCCTGCCGTGTAGTTCTGGGCTGATCCCTCACCTTCCTCATGATCATTGATGCCCCACGAGGTGAGATCTTGTATGGAGCCCCAGACCGAGGGTGATTGACCGTCATCTTGAACTTCTTCCATTTTCTAATAATTGCGCCAACAGTTGTTGCCTTCTCACCAAGCTACTTGCCTATTGTCCTGTAGCCCATCCCAGCCTTGTGCAGGTCTACAATTTTATCCCTGATGTCCTTACACAGCTCTCTGGTCTTGGCCATTGTGGAGAGGTTGGAGTCTGTTTGATTGAGTGTGTGGACAGGTGACTTTTATACAGGTAACGAGTTCAAACAGGTGCAGTTAATACAGGTAATGAGTGGAGAACAGGAGGGCTTCTTAAAGAAAAACTAATAGGTCTGTGAGAGCCGGAATTCTTACTGGTTGGTAGGTGATCAAATACTTATGTCATGCAATAAAATGCAAATGAATTACTTTAAAATCATTCAATGTGATTTTCTGGATTTTTGTTTTAGATTCCGTCTCTCACAGTTGAAGTGTACCTATGATAAAAATTACAGACCTCTACATGCTTTGTAAGTAGGAAAACCTGCAAAATCGGCAGTGTATCAAATACTTGTTCTCCCCACTGTATATATATATATATATATATATATATATATATATATATAAAGTATCTATATTTTTAAATATATTTTCCCCTTAACCCTACCATCCCACCCCTAATTGGAGTAAACTAATGGACAACGACACTTAGGCTTCTACTTCCAGCTTTTACATACTATATAAAGAACACCTATTCTTTCAATGACCTAGACTGACCAGGTGAAAGCTATAATCACTTATCGATGTCACTTGTTAAATCCACTTCAATCAGTGTAGATGAATGGGAGGAGAAGGTATAAAGAAGGGTTTTTAAGCCTTGAGACATGGATTGTGTATGTGTTCCATTCAGAGGGTGAATGGGCAAGACAAAAGATGTAAGTGCCTTTGAAGGGGGTATGGTAGTAGGTGCCAGGCGCACCGGCTTGAGTGTGTCAAGAACTGCAACGCTGCTGGATTTTTCAAGCTCAACAGTCAGGGACAGCCAGACAGTGCTGAGGCTGAGACTGCGAGTCAAATTAATGAATGAATGAATATACTACGAGTCAAATTAATGAATGAATGAATATACTATTCAAGAGGGAAATGTTTTAAAAGGTTGTATGTTTAAATACTCTGTGTGGAGTGAATCAGGCTTAATTATGAGTATTCAGTAGGCTACTGCTTGTGTCATCATGTATATTTACGCAAACATTCAATAAACAATGTTCCCTGGTTCAAAATGCTCAAATAAATGGTGTGCAGTGCAGGTTAAGGTGAGGGGGGCACACTGAAAGAATGTAAACAGGGCTCGCTCACTATCAGTCGAATGTTTACATTGTTGAAATCTAGAGACAGACGTCCTTCATATCAAAAGTACACGTTAAACTTTTGGTTGTTCTATGTTCACTGTTGAAAATACAGTAGTCCATTCAGTCCAATGACATTACAACAACTGGTCAACTATCCAATGGCAACCTCGAACGTACTGGAGCCAGGAATTAAGTGGCGGTACGCAATTGGAGGAAAGCTGATGATGACAGCCAATTAGAATGTGGCAAGTCAGTGAAGGAGCGTGATTTCCGAATTCTTTAGTTAGAAATCACAAGCCAAAGATCATTTTGTAACCCCACTTCAGGATTCATAAAGATCTACAGAGATTGTTATTAAAAACACAATTTTTGTGACATTCATCTGCTAACGTTACGAGTTAAAAGGGAGAAGTCTCACTCGTTGCACGGATAGCATTCCATTGGAAAACCTGACAATGAGAAAGATAGCGCTGCTACTGATTGTGTTACTTGGCGTTGCCCACTTTGCCGCTGTCATCCGATGTGAAGCTGATGGTAAGGAGCTAGCTAATTTGTAATGAATTAAGTTAGCCAGGAATGTTTACTAGGCTAGTTAGGTAGTTGGCTTATCCTGTAATTATAACAGCCAGGCAGCTCTTATTAACTAGGTAGTTGGCTGGCTAGTTAGCTAGCTAATTGCTAACTTGACTGCTGGCTAGTTTTTGTAGAATGTTGTGCGTACACGCGCGTACTCTGTATGTTGCAGCGTGGTTTTGTTATGTTGCAATGCAAACCCAACTGTGTTGTCCAGTCAGACTATCGTTGCTAGACATTATGTTTATTTCACACTGTGTGTTATCCATGGTGTTCGCAGATGTAGCGGAAGAAGTAGAGAAGGAGGAGGAGGAGGAGGATGATGATGAAGATGAGGATAAAGCTGATGGAACAGAGGTGAAGAATGAGAATGGAGTGTTGGTCCTGAATGATGACAACTTCGACATGTTCATGGAGGGGAAGGACATCGTACTGGTTGAGTTCTATGCACCATGGTAAGTTTGCATAAAGGAATAGTTCACAATAATAAAGTCAATATTTGGCAGTCATTGGAGACGTGTCCATCCGCATCGTCTATTGTGCAGTTCCTGGTAGCCGATATGTAGTTTGAAAAACAGGCAGACCTTAATCTCAAATATGCATGGGATATCTGCACCATTTAATTCATTTCCCATTGATTGACACTTCTCTAATCAGTTACCCTCCGCTCTCCCAGGTGTGGCCACTGTAAGCACTTTGCTTCAGAGTATGAGAAGATTGCCCTGACTCTGAAGGAGAATGACCCCCCTATCCCTGTGGCCAAGGTGGACGCGACCAAGTCCAGTTCCTTAGGGAGCAGGTTCGAGGTGTCGGGATATCCCACCTTCAAGATCATGAAGAAGGGGGAGGCTGTGGAGTATGATGGAGACAGGAATGAGCAGGGTAAGAAGTCTACTAAGAAGACTTATCCAGTCAGGACCTGACTGTCTTTTTCAGCCTTTGACAACGCTACATTGCCAGCTTGTTTAGTTCAAGCAGAAACAGAGTATTAAACAGGTTACTATAACGTAGTAACTGTGGTTGTGTTTGTCTTGTGGCTCGAGTGGATTGGAACCCACTTTCAGTTTCACTACAGTAACATTAGTAACGCAGTAACTGCGGTTGTGTTTCAGCCATTGTGGCTCAGTGTATGGAGTGCCAGCGGACTGGAAGCCCCTCAGAGGCCACCTGGTGCTGACCAAAGGACAACTTTGACGAGTGGTCACGGGAATCATCCTGGTGAGTTCTATGCCCATGGTCATACAACACCCCCAACGTTCAGGATGCTCAATAGCTAGAGTTCGCTAAGTTCACCTGCTTCACCTGCACTGAGTTATGAAATTAAATCTATCATGGCCTTTGTGTTTCAAGGTGAGGAGGACAAGTCAAGTTAGGGAGAGGCATTTGTGGGATGCTAAGATCATGAAGGTGTATCTTGCTTCTGAAGCTTCATATGTGTAGAAATTCCTCCCTGATTTCACTATTAATATATCATGGATTTGAGATTCGGTTTAGTGATTAACCCCCGCCCCCCCCCCACATCACAACGTCAACAACGTGAACAAGTTTGCTCTTGGGTCCAATCAGAATGCCTAACTTCCGTTACCACAACACTGAAGTGAGTACGGTTGGTATTCTTGGTAGATGTTGGTTAACAGTCGCATGAGAAAATCTCCCTAATGAGTCTGTTCAAAAATTTTTGGAGGGGCATTGGGTCTGTCTGTAGAATAGTGAAATGAAGTGTGGGGGGAATACCGTGTTAGGGCTGACTGGAGAGCTAATGCGCTAGGAAAATAAAATGCCCTTTCATGTCAAATGCAACGAGAGTTGTATATGTTCTTGAAAATAAAATAATTACTTTGCGCATCCTCAGATCTGTAGGCTAGTACTAGGGATGTTCGCGGTTAACCGTTAATCGGTTAGCTGCCGCATTTGACCGGTCATGCTTATTGGTCTATAGGTTAATTTGCATAATTTTGTGGAATTAAATTGGCACGTGTGTATTTTTGTTAGTGGTCATGCATTTTATTTATCGCGCTCACAGCATACAGAGCCTAGTTTGAGGAGAGGAATAGCCCTACCACACAGACAGCGTGAGAGTAGCTCCTCAAAAGGCCTGAAGGCTACTGGAGTAAAACCTGCTTTTGGAAGCCCAGTCATTGCGCAACAAATAACAATTCTAAATGCAATCGCGTTAACTTTGGTGGCCACGATTAAAAAGGAGCTATTTTTATTTCTGTCTCAACTCGTAAAGCGTGCCTCCCATTCGGATGCATAGGCTATAGCCTGCCTACCGTTGACTATCAGCGGTAGGCCCACCACTTTGCAATGTGAGCTTGAGGCAGTATAATTATTTGAAACCTGAACGTTTTACTTAACTTCAAATAATGAGAGATGTCATACCTTGCTTCAAAGTAGACTTGTGAAAATCCATCCATAGAAACATGGAGACAATTTTATAAAGACTTCCTGATGCCATTAACCAGCATTTCTCTCCTGTTCTATTGGTTTCATATCAACTTTCTTTCGTTGTCCAGAAGCCAAAGGCACAATCCTAGTCATATTAGCAAACCATCATAGTAGCTGCTATTTGTTCCTCCTCTTTCTAAATGTCTAACTGAGATGTATATCTGTCACCATATGGAACTGCTTACCTTAGGTGCAGTTTAGAACTGTGTTTTCCGTGAATTGCATTTGGACAAATGTTTGAAAATGACATTTTATTAGCTACTTCATTACAGGAGTTGCATGTTCAATAATAGGCTATAGCCTTTTGACTGTAAGATGATAAGCTTACTATTGTTGCATGTTTCCATTAAGCTCTTAACGAAAAATGTCTGGTCCTTGTATGCATGCATAGTATTGGAGAAAAGAAGGCAAAGCGCAAGGTTTCACTCTCGACAAAATCTGTCCAAATAAGTCCAATGTGTTTCTATGGGCTTATTTTGGGCCTAAGCTTGTCGCCTGCCTTCCCGCCTTGGAACGACTCCCATTGTTAGGGCGGAAACATAAGCATCTCATGATTATATACAGATCTCTGATAGTATTTTCTGTTGGTCACATTAATTTGTTCTTACCATTTGTTAAATGGTTAATAAGGGTCAGTTAGTCAGCAGCATAATGTACCTACATTTACATCCCTAGCTAGTACATTTACAGTGCGCAACAAACAATACATTTTTTTTTCTCCAAAAATGAACACTAACGTCCGTTGGGATATTTGAATAACCATGCCCATCCCTATTCCAGGTGTGGCCACTGTAAGCGGCTGGCTCCAGAGTACGAGAAGGCAGCCAAGGACCTGAGCCAGCGCTCTCCTCCCATCCCCCTGGCCAAGGTAGACGCCACCCAGGAGAACGACATCGCCATCCGCTTCGGGGTGTCGGGGTACCCCACCCTCAAGATCTTTAGGAAGGGGAAGGCCTTTGACTACAACGGACCCAGAGAGAAGAATGGTACGTCCACGCTTCAGACTGTTTCAGACACTACCCCATGACTAAATATATCTGCTAACATTATGGACTTTAGGACCCGTCCCATGTTAATGATATAGCCGAGGGTACTAACTATTCTGTGTGTGTTCTCTCTGTAGGTATCGTTGACTATATGAGCGACCAGGCGGGGCCACCCTCCAAGCAGGTGCAGACGGTGAAACAGGTGCAGGAGTTAATCAAAGATGGCGATGATGCTGTCATAGTGGGCGTGTTCTCCTCAGAGCAGGATACAACCTATGACCTCTACCTAGAGGCCTGTGAGTACATAATTAATTACATTGACATTGAGAATGCATTTGTCAGTGTTCATGATACATAGAATATTGCATATGATGTGTAGTATACAGAGGATATATTTAATCCGTGCTCCTGTACTCCCAGTGCGGCCTTCTAATTCTAAAGGAGATAGTTATTGTTGTGTTCCCCTCCTCTCACTCCTCCCAGGTAACGCTCTTAGAGAGGACTTCAAGTTCCTCCACACCTTCAGTTCAGACGTGGCCAAGCTCCTCAAGGCCTCCCCAAGCCAGGTCGTCATGGTGCATCCTGAGAAGTTCAGGTCCAAGTACGAGAAAGCCTCATATATACTCACCATCAAAGTAAGTCTGACAACTGGTGTGTGTGTGTGCGTTACGCTAGTCAGCTTCTTACACACTCAAATCAATGCCACACGCACCGAATACAACCGGTGTAGACCTTACAGTGAAATGCTTACTTACTTACAAGCCCTTGACCAACAATGCAGTTTTTAAGAAAAGTGTTAAATAAAAAGTAGATAAGTTAAAAATAGCAAATAATTAAAGAGCAGCAGTAAAATAAAATAACAGTAGGGAGGCTATATACAGGGGGTACCGGTACAGAGTCAATGTGCAGGGGGCACCGGTTAGTTGAGGTAATATGTATGTGACAGTAAGCCTTGTGATGGAGGGAAAAAATCTAAACAGTTACATATCACAATATTATTTTGGGCAATATTAAATCAATACTTTGACTTCCAAGTATCGATTTGTAATTTTTTTTTACATTATTGTTATTATAAATGTTTTGCTAGGTAGCGTTAGCTAGCGCTAGTCGGCTGTACCTGCGGCAAAACTCCTGCATTTTTCATCCTAAAGCATGTGCTCCATCTTCTTTTTTTAATAGTGAGCCAACATGTTTTCAGCACTTATTTCCATGACTGATCAAAACTTGTTTCCTCATGTTCTTTTGTCTGTCTGCAGCAGACATATGGTGAGCAATATGTTTGGAACATCAAATCACAATAAAATCGCAGTATCGAATCGCAATACATATAGAATCGTGGGAATTGCAAAACATATCGTATCGGCACCTACGTATCTTGATAATATCGTATCGTGAGGTCCCTGGCAATTCCCAGCCTGATTCACTGGATGGATGCCATTTATCCATCTCACTGCAATATGCAGGGATATCTGAAACTAGCAGACTTCAATGAAGCATGCTTTCCTAACTTAAATAGAATACTGAAATGATTCATGTATGTATAATGTCCTGCCTCCTCTCCCCCCAGGACTCCACAGAGGTGTCGGAGGTGCAGGACTTCTTTAAGAAACACATCCTGCCGCTGGTGGGTCACAGGAAACAAAGCAATGATGCTAAACGTTACACCAAGAGACCACTGGTCGTCGTTTACTACGGAGTGGACTTCAGCTTTGACTACAGGAAAGGTGTGTCCTCAACCCCTTATTTCCTATATTAGGTGAATATTGTGGATATTTTCAAAGTCTTAAGCTGCATAGCTTCCATAATACCTTTTTTGTCAGGCTGAAGGGCTGGAACAATATACTGCACTTCAAGTAGATCTCCTCCCTGACCGAGGTTTGGAGAACCTTGGCTGTTAATTGGAGCCTGCAGCTCATGTCTGATTACCCCCTCTATCTCTGTTCCAGCGACCCAGTTCTGGAGGAGCAAGGTTTTGGAGGTGGCCAAGGATTTCCCAGAATACACCTTTGCCATCGCTGATGAGGAGGACTACTCAGATGAGTTGAAGAGCCTGGGGCTCAGTGACAGCGGGGAGGAAGTCAACGTGGGGATCCTGGGAGATGGAGGCAAGAAGTTTGCCATGGAGCCTGAGGAGTTAGACTCTGAGGTGCTGAGGGACTTCATCATGGCCTTCAAGAAAGGTGAGTTTTACAGCAATTGTTGTCAATTGAAAGTATGTCAGAGGACTTCACACCACAGCATGTTGTATTGAGTTACAGGTTATTCTGAGTTGAGTGCCTTGTCTGCTGCCAGCAAAATATTATCAGTATGTGACAGGTCTTGATGGTCCTATTGAGTTTACAGGGTTGACCATTGAAACTGTCAGAATTGCCAAGATTGTGTAATAGACTATTAGTGGTCAGCATGTCTGGTTTTGTCTGTTCCCCTCTACAGGCAAACTGAAGCCCATCATCAAATCCCAGCCAGTGCCCAAGAACAACCAAGGCCCCGTGAAGGTAGTGGTTGGGAAAACTTTTGACGACATCGTCATGGATACCAAAAAAGACGTTCTGATAGAGTTCTACGCCCCGTGGTGTGGCCACTGTAAGAAGCTGGAACCCGACTACACAGCCCTGGGGAAGAAATACAAGAGCGAGAAGAACCTGGTCATCGCCAAAATGGACGCCACAGCCAACGATGTGCCTCACGACAGCTACAAAACGGAGGGCTTCCCCACCATCTACTTTGCGCCTAGCAACAGCAAGCAGAGCCCAATCAAATTCGAGGGCGGGGACAGAACCATAGAAGGATTAAGTAAGTTCTTGGAACAGTACGCCACAAAGTTATCACAGAGCAGAGATGAACTTTGAGAATATCTCGCTCTGAGTACCTAAACTCCAACTATGCCTCTGCAGTCCCAGGTGCCCTGGGGGAGCCGAGGGCAGAGGCTGTCAATCTCAAATCAACCCCTCCTAGCCCCTACACCCTAGCCACTTATGCATAGACCTTAGAGGGTTGGATCAGAGAGCAAGATGGAGCTACCACCGTATTGTTTAGATGTATTCAACCCTCTCAGATCTCCACTAGGGCCTAGTGGTTAGGGCCTAGTGGTTAGGGGCTAGGAATTTGTTTCCCCAAAGAGGGCTCTTAGTGAGTTGCTGTGATCCACAGATTCAGCTTTTGTTTTCCATGTCTAAAAGCATGTAAGCACTGTGTTCCAGATTTCTAAGTCTTTTTAAATAAAATGTTGTGAAAACGGATGTGGTTTTGTGGTGGTAGTTGTGTATACTGTTATGTACTGAGTGGTGGGCTGCATAATTCCTCTTCCCAGCACCTCAGCTGTCCCCTTAAGAAAAAGATTGCAGTATAACTGCAGTATGCTGCGAAAACTGTGTCCAAAATAAAACTTTTTTAACTACAGTAACATTGCAATTACTGCTTCCAAAATACAACAGTCAACTACAGTTACTGCACTTTTACTGCAGTTTCAAAACTGCAATCTTTTTTTGTAAGGGTCATGTACAACTCTTCCCAGTGTGAAATAGTTCCAATCCTTCTGATTGTGTTGTGATGTCATGTTGTAAAATTTCTCTGTGTGAAAATGTTCCCAGTTCAATAATTGCACGTGTGTCTCTTTATGTGGATGGCTGAGTTCGTGTGGATGTAGCACACCTTCCCACACCCTTGATTTAGCTAGCTAGCATAATTGGCTGTCAGCTGGTCGAGATGGCTTGTTCTCAGATGTGTGACGTCTTAGCTTGTTTGTATAGCTAAACAAACGAATATAAAAGCTAGGTTTTAGCCAAAGTTCAAAAAACAGTTTCACATCTCCACTAGTTACTTTGACATTGTTTAAATGTTATTTTGATAACCAAATGTGCTGCGCTAGCTATCTGCCATTCCGTGCATCACGTGATACACTAGCTAGCTAGCACAACTAGCTTGTGTCCACAACTAGCTAGCTTATAACTACCAATGGTAGCGCCTCTGCTGGAGCAAATATTTAATAGAAAGTAAATGGCAGAACTGCAAATAAATGCTATATTGATTAGTGGTAAAGCCAAGTCAACTATCAACACTACTACCAAATATTTTTTATAACTAACCCATGGTACTGCAATTTGTCCAAAAGCATGTTTTTGCTGTCAGTTGAGTGACCTCTACTGTTGTAATGTGGAACTGAAGACTCGACTGGTGCGACTGTCTTCTAGAATATAATATATATATATATATATATATATATATACAGTACCAGTCAAACGTTTGGACACACCTACTAATTCCAGAGTTTTTCTTTATTTTTTAAAACTATTTTCTACATTGTAGAATAATAGTGAAGACATCAAAACAATGACATAACACATGGAATCATGTAGTAATAACCATAAGTGTTAAACAATTTTACATTTGAGATTCTTCAAAGTACATTACATTTACATTTAGCCACACTTTGCCTTGATGACAGCTTTGCACACTCATGGCATTCTCTCAACCAGCTTTATGAGGTAGTCACCAGGAATGCATTTCAATTAACAGGTGTGCCTTAAAAGTTAATTTGTGGATATTCTTTCCTTAATGCGTTTGAGCCAATCAGTTGTGTTGTGACAAGGTAGGGGTGGTATACAGAAGATAGCCCTAAAAGACCAAGTCCATATTATGGCAAGAACAGCTCAAATAAGCAAAGAGAAACGACAGTCCATGAATTTCAAGAACTTTGAAAGTTTCTTCAAGTGCAGTTGCAAAAACCATCAAGCACTATGATGAAACTGGCTCTCATGAGGACCGCCACAGGAAAGGAAGACCCAGAGTTACCTCTGCTGCAGAGGATAAGTTCATTAGAGTAACCAGCCTCAGAAATTGCAGCCCAAATAAATGCTTCACAGAGTTCAAGTAACAGACACATCTCAACATCAACTGTTCAGAGGAGACTGTGTGAATCAGGCATTCATGGTCGAATTGCTGCAAAGAAACCACTACTAATGGACACCAATAAGAAGAAGAGACTTGCTTGGGCCAAGAAACACGAGCAATGGACATTAGACCGGTGGAAATGTGTCCTTTGGTCTGGTTCCAACCGCGGTGTGGGTGAACGGATGATCTCTGCATGTGTATTTCCCACCGTAAAGAATGGAGGAGGTGTTATGGTGTGGTGGTGCTTTGCTGGTGATACTGTCTGTGATTTATTTAGAATTCAAGGCACACTTAACCAGCATAGCTACCACAGCATTCTGCAGCGATACACCATCAAATCTGGTTTGGGCTTAGTGGGACTATCATTTGTTTTTCAACAGGACAATGACCCAACACATCTCCAGGCTGTGTAAGGGCTATTTTACCACGAAGGAGAGTGATGGAGTGCTGCATCAGATGACCTGGCCTCCATAATCCCCCGACCTCAACCAAATTGATATGGTTTGGGATGAGTCGGACCCGCAGAGTGAAGGAAAAGCAGCCAACAAGTGCTCAGCAAATGTGGGAAGTCCTTCAAGACTGTTGGAAAAGCATTCCAGGTGAAGCTGGTTGAGAGAATGCCAAGAGTGTGCAAAGCTGTCATCAAGGCAAAGGGTGGCTATTTGAAGAATCTCAAATATAAAATATATTTTGATTTGTTTAACACTTTTTTTGGTTACTACAAGATTCCATATGTGTTCATTCATAGTTTTGATGTATTCACTATTATTCTACAATGTGGAAAATTGTAAAAAATAAAGAAAAACCCTGGAATGAGTAGGTGTGTCCAAATTTTTGACTGGTAGTGTAGATATTGTTTCCCAAAAGTAGTGCACTGGGCCTTTACTAGTATTAGCGGACCTATATAGACTTCTGTAGCTCGGGTAAAACAAATATTCAGTATCTCTGCTTTGGCAAAAAAGGTCGTTGTATAAAGTTGAGCTGACAGCCGTTTTGCACTGTTTCACTATGGTTTTAGTCATCAATCTAGCAAGAGGGCAATATTTTATTAATGTTGTAGTGTTTCCCCCCCTAGAAAGCTATGACATTCGGCTTTCACCTGGAATTGTTAATTTGTCTGAGAAAAAAACAATTTTCAACCCATATGATCTAGTACACAAAAGTATAATAAAACATATAGAAATATGATGGTATGATACATTTTTTCTATTGTGAATGAATAAGCCTTTTCATACTTTATCATATGTCCATATAGTTAGAATATGAAATGTACATTTCGACCGAAAGGATTTGACAAACGTGATTGGTTGACGATATTACACTGGCCTACGTCTCGCCTTGTGCTGCTGCGTAGAATATCAGATCTAAACAACGATTGGAGATGTGTTTAACATCACCAGTACCACATCCTTATGATATATATCTTGTCAAAAGCGCAACGTGACTGCAAAGCGGGTATTTACTATATAAACGGTTGTCTACAATATAAAACATCACATTTACATTTACATTTATATCATTTAGCAGACGCTCTTATCCACAGCGACTTACAAATTGGATCCACCGTTTAGTAAATTGCTTTGATTTGTATATAACGGTTTAGCTACCAATATTTAGGCTATTCATATCTACTGAAATTGTACATGGCTAATTTTCTCATTGATTATTAAATATGGTATTATTACCATGATGTAATGGGGAGTCGTAACTGTAAATAGTTGCACATTAACTTGGTATCAGGGAATAGTGTAAACACCTCGCATAATATACATATTTGCTGGGGATTTGTATCATTGAAAACATTGAGCTATAAAAGAAAACCGCGAGAACAAAAGGAACTTGTCCACATGTCCCCCATTCCGGGGCCCCCGACGTAGCGCTGCCTATTATTGGCCAGCTCCCTGATTCAATCAGACCTATCGCGATGCATCGCAGTGAGAAGCTTGAATATTGGCTGCGGTGATTGGTCCATATGTTTGGCGCGCGTTGAAGCTACGGTTGTCGGAGTGGGCGGCGAATGTTGAGTGATAGAGAGATGTTTGAATAGCGAGCCAGGTGCTTAGGCGGAAAACATTGAAATTGAGATTTTTTTTCTCCAGTAAAACAGTATATTTACAATAATTCATTTAACAGCCTCAAACTATCCATGTTATTTCCATTGGGAAGTGCAGACCAGAGAGAAGTGCCCGGTTTTGTGTAGCGAGCCGGTGTTGTTCGCTAGCTAGCTAGCTGGTAGTCGACTCCGCGGATGCGCGAGTTCAATTCATCACCACCCCTTCTCTCTCGCTGCTAACGAGCTAGCCAACAAAACAGTAGTAATCCCGATCAACGAAATATTCTTTCTCGGTGTGTGTACAGTCGATCCCGAGTCACTTCATTGAATGAGGACCGACCCCTCTCTGCAGGTAGGAAACGCTGTCAAAATATAAAATTGTTCTTTCCTCGGTGAAAAACAAATAATAGCCAACCACATAGCTAACATTAGTTTCCTCTGTCTTGGTCGCTAGTTAGCTTGCTGGCTAACCAGCTAGATGTGGAAGGATACTGTTCGTAGACACCGCTCTGGACATGCATGATCTGGCAGTTATCTATCAGACACAAAACAAAACGGTTAGCCAGCCAATATGGAAAGATGACAGTTGTGAATTGACCTTAGTTGTGCCAATTAACGTGAACTCGAGTGTTTTTGTCTGCTGTGGACGGGATTTCCTTTCTTCATCAATGTTTCCGCATTGACTCAAGCCTGGCAACGTTTAACTTTGTTGAACTTTATTGAACTTTCAAGCCTTACTCAGTTTCCGTCATGTCAAGGCATACATTCACAAGAATCAGATAATTATTTGGTAGGATGGATTGAAATGGAGACATTTAGCTAACTTCATATGAATTGGGAAGTTTGCTTGATTGTCGCTCTGGATAAGAGCGTCTGCTAAATGACTAAAATGTAAAATGTACTAGCTAAGTTGAAAACCACTGTTAGCAACAATTCTGTCAAATTGTCACGTGACATGACAACGATTGATTTGGCGACGGCAATGACATCAAAGCGGATTGATTAAAAACAAGAGGGCTTTGACTAGGTTATACAACTACGACCGGAAGTTACTTTTTCGTAACAGGTTAGGAGAATTTACGCAGCAGGTTACTAAATTAGTAAGAGTGAGTAATTTTGTACTAGTGTAGTACAGTATTACCTTTACTTATAAGATTGTTAATTGAACCCTCCGTCTTCGTCTTAATATTGGGCCCCTCATCGAACATGTTTGTATTGAACTGTTAAACACAGAAAGATTTGAAAAACATGTTAGTGATGTGTAGCGCCGTAGACAGTAGGGAGCCCAGCGGCTAAAGAGTTGTACCTATAGCCTAAAGGTCGCCTGTTCGAATCCGGGCCGGGTGTTGGGAAATTGATCTGGCAACTGGAGGGCTGCTTGGTTCACATCCTCCTCAGAACAATCCCCAACCGTTGCTCTCCATCCAGGGGTTCTGCACTGCAGCTTGACCCAGTGTTCCTCTCAACTGCATGTCTGTATGAGGTGTGCTGTCTGGGTTGAGAAATGACAGCAGAAGACACGTTTTTTTTGTGTTCCCTGTAACTATGGACAAAGTAAAGTTGTATTGTGTAAACCTACTGTAAGTCATAATCTGCTTGGAGAAACCCTAGACATCAGTATCCAGTGTGGTGCCTGGTAGTGTGTGATGACAGGTTTCCATGGCAGCCCGGATAGTGTGTGTCCTCAAGGAAGGGGATCTGATTGGATTAGACCCATCCAGGCTGGTCAAATACAATAATGTCAGTGCAGATGAACAAAAGGAGACTGGTTACTCTACCCAGAGCTATAGGCAGTATTCTTTCTAGGAGGCAGTCAAAAAAACAGACACAACTCTGATTTGATTTCTGCTGCTTGTGAACTCGGGCCATCTCCAACATCTGTTTCTCCAGTACTTCTCTACTACAGCAGATGCTATTATGGAGGCAGCAGTACTGTGTTTGGGACTGAGCCTTTGATGGAAGCCAAATAATGATTTTGTGGTTTCTGTTTTACCCCATGTAAATGGACAATAAAGCTTTTGAATTGAATTAGAGACAAGAAGTTAGTTTAGGGTGAATCCCCTTATTTGCACGTCTTTGAACTGGCCTGGCATGAATGTCTCAGTGCATCAGTAGAAAGGGAGTAGAGAGGGGAATGTAAACTAGAACAACCATTCATGACTCTGGAAAGAGACTGTATGACCTTATCAACATGTACAATAGTAAGTGGTTACACCACCATATAGTAAGTGGTTATCCCACTGGCTATAAGGTGAATGCACCAATTTGTAAGTCGCTCTGGATAAGAGCGTCTGTTAATGACGTAAATGTAAATGCAATGGTGTCCAACGCTCCGTTGTGTGTTTTAATGTCAAATCTCAGCCCTTTGTGCGAAAGCATAGCTCTTTGCCTTTTCTCTTTAACTGTGCATGATTCTAAAACCGTGTGTTCCAGGTTGACCATGGTGCTGACAGGGAAGCGGTCTGTGAAGGGACCAGTGGGTTGGAGGAGGAGGGTGAAGTCTGAGTACATGAGGCTACGCCAACTCAAACGCTTCAGACGGGCCGACGAGGTCAAGGTACACACACGCATATGTACACTGGGCTCCAAAATTACTGCCACCCCTGACTGGCAATGCACAATCAATACTTAAAAAAATAGAAACAATATAATTATAAAGAAACTCAAAATACCAACATGTGAGAGATAATGGACTTTATTAATGTTTCAATGGAACCAACCAAAATCATACAATTATTTAATACAAAATAAATGTCACCAAAATCAAGGTTTCATAATTATTGGCACTCCTCGTTTAGTACTTAGTGCAACCACCTCTGGCAGGGATAACAGCATGGAGTCTTTTCCTGTAATGTTTGACAAGGTTAAGGAACACATTTGGAGGGATTTTGGACCATTCCTCTATGCAGATCCTTTCAAGATCCTTCACATTCTTGGGTTTGCGCTTATCAACTGCCCTCTTCAACCCACCACCATATTCCACCGTGTGTATGAGGTGCCTCTCCTTGTATGCATCTCTGTTTCGACGCCAAACATGCCGATGCTATATCTGACCAAAACGTTCAATTTTGGTCTCATCTGACCAGAGCACCTTCTTCCAGTCATAATGTAAATGACGTTTGGCATACTCCAAGCGCTTGCGTCTGTGTCTTGGGGTCAGAAAGGGCTTTCTTCTGTCAACCCTTCCAAAGAGCCTGTGGTTGGTGCTTTTTGAAACCTGGTGACCCCAAGACGCCACCAAGACCTGCAATTCTTTCACAGTGATTTTCTTGCTTCTTTCACCATCCTCCTCCCTATCCTGGGGGGCAAAATGCGTTTGCGTCCTCTACCCGTGAGGTTTTCAACTGTTCCATATTGTTTACATTTTTAAATAATTGCCCTGACAGTGCTCAGTGGTATATTCAATCGTTTGAGGATCTTCTTGTAGCCATTACCAGATTTATGAAGGTCTACAACCATCTGTCTCTTTTGAACTGCCAGTTCTTTTGTTTTCTTCATGGTGTTAGATGACAAAGGGATATTGCATGCGTTTTACCTCATTTTTATACCCTAGTGAAACAGGAAGGGATGTAGTGGCTCAATATAGTTCCTTAAGACTTAGATACACTTAAATAAGTGGAATTCAATTCCTGGTTTAATATAGGTAGATGTTATTTACAATAATCTTTAAGGGTGCCATTAATTGTGAAACCTTGATTTGGAGGACTTATTTTTTATTAAATCAATAAATGATTTTGGTGGGTTCCATTGGAACATTAATATAGTACAGTATTTCTCACATGTTAGTATTTTGAGTTTATCTCTATAATTATATTGTATATATTTATTGTTTGTGCATTGCCAGTCAGGGGTGCCAGTAATGTTGGAGCCCACTGTATGTATCCAATAAGGGCTTTAACAGAACACTGGAGAGGTCCTTTCATTTCAGCACATTTGCATGTTCCCACACTCTGTTCACACACAGACACACACACACATACATACATGCATACATACATAGAGAGGTTTCTGACAGTGTGTTTTCTCCTCCCTAGAGTATGTTTAACTCTAACCGTCAGAAGATCTTGGAGCGGACAGACATCCTGAATGCTGAGTGGAAGACCAGGAGGATCCAGCCCGTTCACATCATGACATCTGTTAGCTCCTTACGAGGGACCAGAGAGGTTAGCGCGCACTACACACACACACACACACACACCTATCCAGAGATTAAAATAAATAAATATGGATTTACAATAACATCAGTTTACTGTTTTTCACCATGTTTGACCTTTTACAGTTCTTCACAAGTGAGTCTGAGTTCTCTAATGTGTATATTGTCTCCTCCAGTGTACGGTGGCCAGTGGTTTCTCAGAGTTCTCCAAACAGGTGATCCCGCTGAAGACGCTCAACGCTGTAGCCTCTGTACCTGTCATGTACTCCTGGTCCCCGCTACAGCAAAACTTCATGGTAAACACACACACACAAACTGAGCGATACTAAGCTTGTTCTGACATGTGCACTGGAACTGTAGTTATCCGATGCAGTAGTCTAGTCCCAACTTGATGATAGTGATGTCTTAAACTTTAATGGAATTGTCCTGATACACCTGGCCTACTGACACTCTATTGATATACACCTGGCCTACTGACACTCTATTGATACACCTGGCCTACTGATATTCTTCTGACACACCTGGCCTACTGATGCACCTGGCCTACTGACACTCTACTGATGCACCTGGCCTACTGACACTCTACTGATACACCTGGCCTACTGACATTTTGCTGATACACCTGGCCTACTGATACACCTGGCCTACTGACATTCTACTAATACACCTGGCCTACATACACTCTATTGATACACATGGCCTACTGACATTCTACTAAAACACCTGGCCTACTGACATTCTTCTGACACACCTGGCCTACTGACACTCTACTGATACACCTGGCCTACTGACACTCTACTGATACACCTGGCCTACATACACTCTACTGATACACCTGGCCTACATACACTCTACTGATACACCTGGCCTACATACACTCTACTGATACACCTGGCCTACTGACACTCTACTGATACACCTGGCCTACTGACACTCTACTGATACACCTGGCCTACATACACTCTACTGATACACCTGGCCTACATACACTCTACTGATACACCTGGCCTACATACACTCTACTGATACACCTGGCCTACTGACATTCTACTGATGCACCTGGCCTACTGACACTCTACTGATGCACCTGGCCTACTGACACTCTACTGATGCACCTGGCCTACTGACACTCTACTGATACACCTGGCCTACTGACACTCTATTGATACACCTGGCCTACTGACACTCTACTGATACACCTGGCCTACTGACACTCTATTGATACACCTGGCCTACTGACACTCTACTGATACACCTGGCCTACTGACACTCTACTGATACACCTGGCCTACTGACACTCTACTGATGCACCTGGCCTACTGACACTCTACTGATACACCTGGCCTACTGACACTCTATTGATACACCTGGCCTACTGACACTCTACTGATACACCTGGCCTACTGACACTCTATTGATACACCTGGCCTACTGACACTCTACTGATACACCTGGCCTACTGACACTCTATTGATACACCTGGCCTACTGACACTCTACTGATGCACCTGGCCTACTGACACACCTGGCCTACCAAACCTGGCCTACTGACACACCTGGCCATCGGATACACCTGGCCTACTGACACACCTGGCCTGCCTTGTAGGTAGAAGATGAGACGGTTCTCCACAACATCCCCTACATGGGAGATGAGATTCTGGACCAAGACGGAACCTTCATAGAGGAACTCATCAAGAACTACGACGGCAAAGTTCACGGAGACAGGGGTACGACACACGCTATTTTATATTATCACATCTTGTTTTGATTTGATGTGGTGTGTCTGTCTGTGTCATGTTAAATGACTGTGTGTGTTTCCAGAGTGCGGCTTCATTAATGATGAGATCTTTGTGGAGCTGGTGGGTGCACTGACCCAGTACAGTGACAACGATGATGATGATTTTGATGAAGAAGAGCAGGAGTTTAAGCTGGAGAAGATGGAGCTGTGTGAGGGGAAGGACCACCTGGTCGAGGAACCCCTGATCAACACTGAAAGTAAGGCAGACGGCCACTGCTATTATCCAACAAAGAATAGAAATGAGCCTTATCCCAAAACCATTCCCTCAACCCTTTATCTCACCTAGTTCCCTTCCCTAGGTCCTCTCAGCTCTTGATCTCTCCTTACCCTCCTGTGTCCTGTGTGGGCTGACGCAGTGACTGTGGTAAGACGTTGTGTGTGTGTGTGTGTGTAACCCCTGTGTGTCCTCTGCTTGCAGGCCAAGGCAGCAGTGACAGCTCTAAGAACTTTCCGTCTGATAAGATCTTTGAGGCCATTTCCTCCATGTTCCCTGATAAGGGCTCCACAGAGGAACTCAAAGAGAAGTAAGTACTCCTTTGAGTGTGTGTTTTTGTGTGTCAGTAGTGCATATTTCTGTTTTGTCTCTACTATAATGAGGTGTGTGTGTGTGTGTGTGTGTGTTATCAGGTACAAGGAGCTGACAGAGCCACAGTTGCCCGGTGCATTGCCTCCAGAGTGTACTCCTAACATGGACGGTCCCAACGCTCGCTCCGTTCAGAGAGAACAGAGTCTACACTCCTTCCACACACTCTTCTGCCGACGCTGCTTCAAATACGACTGCTTCCTGCACCGTGAGTGTACGGACACACTCTCTCTCACCACATTTGGACTGTTCTACACTACCCCTCTCTGACTTCACTATGACCACTCATCTCTCTCCTCTTTGTATCTCTCTCTCCAGCCTTCCATGCGACTCCTAACACCTATAAACGTAAGAACATGGAGAATCTGGTGGACAGTAAACCCTGTGGCGACGAGTGCTACATGTACCTGGTGCAGGCAAGTGTGTAAAGACACAGACACAGAGAGAGAGAGAGGCACCTACAGGTCTGACTGTTCTGTGGTGGTTATCTAGGATGGTTTGGTGAGGGAGTACCCTGATGGCATGGCAACCGAGAGGTCCAAGACTCCTTCAAAACGCCCCGTGGGCCGTCGCCGGGGACGACCCAGCGGCAACAGCCGGCCCAGCACACCGACAGTCTCCACGGATACCAAAGACACGGACAGCGAGCGGGAGGGGAAAGACGACGATGATGATGATAATGATGATAAGAAGGAGGAGACCACCAGCAGCTCAGGTACACACACACACACACACACACATATATATATATATATATATATATATATATACATACCAACACACACACACACTAACCATTACCTTGTGTGTATTCTAGAGGGTAACTCACGGTGCCAGACTCCAGTGAAGTTGAAGCTGAGGTGTGATCCTGAAGTTGTTGATTGGAGAGGAGCCGAGGCTTCACTCTTTAGGGTTCTCATCGGAACCTACTATGACAACTACTGCGCTATAGCAAGGCTCATAGGAACAAAGACCTGCAGACAGGTGTGTGTTTCTGTTACAACAACACCTACGCTGAAAATCATTTTCTGTATTTCACTCACATTGCAATTTTTTTCTCTCCCAGTTTTGGACTCATAACGTTGTGGGCTAACTAGTCAGGTTTTATGGAAAGACGTGTAGTATATTGTCTGGTAATATGTGTGTGTCTCTAGGTGTACGAGTTCAGAGTAAAGGAGTCTAGTATCATCGCTCGCGCTCCAGCCGAGAACGAAGACACGCCCCCTCGCAAGAAGAAGCGGAAACACCACAGGTACGCCACGCCCAAATATATACCGACTGCTTGAGGCTGCACTAATGGGGTGACTGAGCAGGGTACAGTCGGAGGATCTGGTTGTCAACTTTCATTGAAAAGACGTACTAACTTAAGGGTGGTGTCGTTTCAGGTTGTGGGCCACTTACTGCAGGAAGATCCAACTGAAGAAAGGTGACGATTGTCTCTACATCTCTCCTAGCATTGGAACCTTCAGAATACTCAGCTTGCGGCCCCACGCAATCTTCGAATGTGATTGAAAGTGTTGTTGTGATCAATGTGACGAATTTATGACCAATGCAAATCTTTGTTGTGTGACGGTGCTGACATGTGCTTGACCCCTCCCCCTGCAGATGGCTCGTCCAACCACGTGTATAACTACCAGCCATGTGACCACCCCCGCCAGCCCTGTGACTCCTCCTGTCCCTGCGTCACCGCTCAGAATTTCTGTGAGAAATTCTGCCAGTGCAGCTCAGAGTGTGAGGACATTTTTAAATACTTTATTTTCATTATTACATTACAGATGACCAGTGTTACACTCACTCTAACCTTCTCTCTGTCTGTCTGTAGGTCAGAACCGTTTCCCAGGCTGCAGGTGTAAGGCCCAGTGTAACACCAAGCAGTGTCCGTGTTACCTGGCGGTCAGAGAGTGTGACCCTGACCTCTGTCTAACCTGCGGAGCCGCTGAACACTGGGACAGCAAGAATGTCTCCTGTAAAAACTGCTCCATACAGAGGGGAGCCAAGAAGGTAAAACACACACAGTATTGATCGCATTGTGCAGCTGTACAGGGTTTTTCCTTTGTTTGTTTGGTATCTGTAGCTCACTATTTAGCCCCCCCCCCCCCCCCCTCCCTCTCAGCACCTGCTCCTAGCTCCGTCTGATGTCGCAGGCTGGGGCATCTTCATCAAAGAGCCAGTTCAGAAGAATGAGTTCATCTCTGAGTACTGTGGAGAGGTGAGGCTCAACTCTGTCTGTCTGGGTGATGGTTTTGTCTGCTTGTGTGTAATGTACAAGCCTGTGGAAAATAATTGTGTGTTGATCCTCTGTGTGTGTGTTGATCCTCTGTGTGTGTGTTGATCCTCTGTGTGTGTGTTGATCCTGTGTGTGTGTGTGTGTGTTGATCCTGTGTGTGTGTGTTGATCCTGTGTGTGTGTTGATCCTCTGTGTGTGTGTGTGTTGATCCTCTGTGTGTGTGTGTTGATCCTCTGTGTGTGTGTGTTGATCCTCTGTGTGTGTGTGTGTGTGTGTGTGTTGATCCTCTGTGTGTGTGTGTTGATCCTCTGTGTGTGTGTGTTGATCCTCTGTGTGTGTGTGTGTGTGTGTGTGTGTGTTGATCCTCTGTGTGTGTGTGTGTGTGTGTGTGTTGATCCTGTGTGTGTTGTTTCTCTCCCCTTCTTGTAGATAATCTCCCAAGATGAGGCTGATCGCAGAGGGAAGGTCTATGACAAATACATGTGTAGCTTCCTCTTCAACCTCAACAACGGTAACACACACGCATACAAAAGGATTGAAATCATGTTTTTGTTAAGTGGGAGGGAAAGCTAACTCTCTCTCCCTCCCCCAGACTTTGTAGTGGATGCCACTAGGAAAGGAAACAAGATTCGTTTCGCCAACCATTCCGTCCACCCCAACTGCTATGCAAAAGGTCAGACAACCCCTAAAACACTATTTCATTAGTTGATCAGTTGATTTGGGGTGAATGTTTCCCCCAGGGGTCAAGACTAGAAACTGTGCTTCAGCAGTGTTTAAACCACCAGATGTATGTCAGCTGATCCAACCAGTCTGGTGTATAACCTAATACAGCAGCAGTGTTTAAACCACCAGATGTATGTCAGCTGATCCAACCAGTCTGGTGTATAACCTAATACAGCAGCAGTGTTTAAACCACCAGATGTATGTCAGCTGATCCAACCAGTCTGGTGTATAACCTAATACAGCAGCAGTGTTTAAACCACCAGATGTATGTCAGCTGATCCAACCAGTCTGGTGTATAACCTAATACAGCAGCAGTGTTTAAACCACCAGATGTATGTCAGCTGATCCAACCAGTCTGGTGTATAACCTAATACAGCAGCAGTGTTTAAACCACCAGATGTATGTCAGCTGATCCAACCAGTCTGGTGTATAACCTAATACAGCAGCAGTGTTTAAACCACCAGATGTATGTCAGCTGATCCAACCAGTCTGGTGTATAACCTAATACAGCAGCAGTGTTTAAACCACCAGATGTATGTCAGCTGATCCAACCAGTCTGGTGTATAACCTAATACAGCAGCAGTGTTTAAACCACCAGATGTATGTCAGCTGATCCAACCAGTCTGGTGTATAACCTAATACAGCAGCAGATGGGACCAACAGACGTAACACTCTGACGTAGCGTTTCACTGATAAGACATCTGTTGTGTTAACAGTCTCTCTCCTCTCTCTGCAGTGATGATGGTGAATGGTGACCACAGGATAGGGATCTTTGCAAAGAGAACCATCCAGACTGGAGAGGAGCTCTTCTTTGACTACAGGTCAGTATATCATGTTTACTAACCAGCCAGTCTGCAGCCTGGCAGCCGGTCAACTAGGATCGTATTAATCAGCACAACTCCGTCTGAATACTCTGTGAGGAGGGCGTCAAGAACTCCCTCCCCGTTTGGTTTCTCTAACACACCTACTTAAGGCACAGGAGGTTTCCAGTTGGTCTATCGACATGACTGTAGACATTTTGTCGCAGCGACATCATGAACATTCTATTGTCGTCCGACGTCAAACTTGTCGTTATGAAGAAGTACAAACGCAAAACCGCAGTCTCTGCATGGCATCAGCAGCCTGGTGTTCCAAATGGCATACTTTGCTCTATTTCAGGGTTATTCAACTCTTACCCTACGAGGTCCGGAGCCTGCTGGCTTTCTGTTCTACCTGATAATTAATTGCACAAACCTTGTGTCCCAGGTCTAAATCAGTCCCGGATTAGAGGTCCAGAGTTGAGTTTGAAGGCTCTATTTGAATGCCAATAAACCCATCTGTTTAAAAATTCAATTAGTTAAATGTCAACCTAGCAAGCCAGGCAAATAAAAGCAACTTTCTAAACAATGTTTTGGTTCGTCGTTACCAATTAATGACCAGAGTATAGTTGACAGGGTCTTAACTTTAGCTACTTTTTATTCAAGAGGAACATAAACCCACAACAACATTATTTACAAGGTATTGGCGAGCTTCCAGAAAACGGCTTACGATTGTGTGACTCTAGTAGGTCGTTCTACTGGATCATTTTAGAACTCCAGCACAGTCTCGGTACAGATGGATTTGGTCTTGTTGCTGTAGCAGCCCAGTAACCACAACAACGGGGGTTGCGACAGTCGCAGAGACATTCACTTTTTTTCATGCCTGTGAGACAAGGAAACCGACAGTCGCAGCGACGGTCTACAGACATTCCACCGGATTATAAATGAAGTGTTTTCACCAGCAACACTTGTCACATTCTAATTGTCTACAGACATGTCGTTAGACTAAGTGTAAACTGGCTTTTATACGTACGCATACACTCATACACTTTGTGGTTGGTTTGACATCTCTAGCTAACTGCTCATGTTTTTCTCTCAGGTACAGTCAGGCTGATGCTCTGAAGTACGTCGGCATCGAGCGGGAGTCAGAGATGCCATGATCCCCTCTTCTGGATCAACACACACACACACACTCTCTCTTCAGGAAACCCAAACGACTGTCGGAATCCTGGGATGCTTCAAGAATTCTGGAAAGTCTTATTTTTCTCACTTTGAATTGTTTTTCTACCAACAAATCTTCCAGTTCTCTGGGATATGTAGGACTTGGTAACTATGGTCACCAGAACGTCCTTCCTCTGTTTACAGCTAACAAACAAACACACATAAACCGGTGTTAATAAATCCACTGACTGGTTCTCTTTAGCTCTGTGATACTTTTTATACTTGAGGGTGATCCAAATTCATGGACACATTATTGACTCTGTGAAATCACAACTGGTTGTTGAAAAATATTTTACTGGGACCAAAACTCTGTTTTTTTTGTGTTTTTTTTAGGGCTTGGCATTAGCCCCTGACCACCAGCTAGACTAAATGTGGGTTAAAAATATCTCAGTGACTGGTGATTTCCCCACTCCCTTAGCCAGTGTCCAAACCTTGGTCTCAGACCCCACAGACACACTGGAGTGCCATAACACTGTTTTGAGACTATAGCCTGATATCTGAGGTGAAAGGATGTATGCTGCATGTTGACCATCAGTACTGCCTGTGTTTTCTTCTCAGTGACTACATGGTTTATTCCAAAAATCATCTGTCTGTTTCACTTTGAATGTTTGGATGTCCACCTGAGTCATGCTTTGATGCGATCTCTGTTCTAGATGGTGCTACTGCTAAGACAATGTGACGTTTTCTCACATATTGAACCTTGATTGACGTTTTGTAAACGCCCCCAGGTATCCACTTATGCTGTGCCTTGAATCTTGTTAGAACACTGAATAGCCACTTGATTAGAGCCCTTAAGTGCTGATTATTGCTAAAGATGTATCCTCAATCTGATTAATGCATGATGAAGGTTCCATGTTTGTAGTCTGGGGAAGAACTCGCTGCTACTGTAATCTAGTGACGCCTGGTGCTTGTGAATCCTGCAGGTTTGAAGCAATACGACCAGGCTTGAATCATGTTTAGTGAGACGGACTGCTCCTATTTGTACTACTAACTTTTATTGTGTCAACTGGGAGGGCTCTGTCCAGGCCTATGGACAGATCTAGATGACTGACGGTTGTGTTTTAGTGGATGGGTGAAGTCAGGAGGCTCTCCTTTGTCTTAAGTAGTTTATGTTGCTCACGTTAGGATAGGGGTGGGGAAATCATTCATCCAATGATGTCACAGATTGCTTAGACACACACCTGGTTGCCCCGGTCTAAATCAGTCTGAATGGAAAACCAGCAGACACGGCAGCTCCTGAAGATTAGTATCAGAGATGGAGGAGGAAGCGAGACATCCCACTCCCTTGTATTTTTCTGGTTCATATACAGTCAATGAACTAAGTAGACCAGACCCAGTTGCTATCCCTTTGGTGTCTATGGGAGAGCCACCCCTTAAATAGACCAGAACTGTGACCAATTTCTTCAATGGTAAACAGCCTGAGGAAGACATCTTAATTTATCCACGATCTTAGCTAGTATCCCACCGATCTGTTAGGATGTATACTTCCTGAGTTGTAGAGCGGGCTGGTGTCCAGTGGGATTCAACATAGAATGTTCAGATAGAAATTCAGGCCTACTGTATAGAACAGCTATGCTTCTCTGTCATAGAATAGTGAAACTGCTCTATACAAGAAATGTCTAACGTTCCCTCCTGAACGTAGCCCTGGTTTCCTCCAGTTGTCTATCCGTGACCACTCCTCTCTGATTACCAAGGTGCTGATTTTTACTGTGTTTACAGGGAATATTGTTCAAAGTGATGCATAATAAAATACGAGCAAATAAAGGTGTCAATTGTTCTTTGAGCCACCAAAGTATTGTTCTTATAGGCTGCGTTTACACAGGCAGCCCAATTCATATATATATATTTAATTGATCTTTTGACCAATCAGATCAGCTCTGAAAAATATCTGATGTGATTGGTCAAAAGACCAATTAGTGGAAAAAATATAGGATTTGGGCTGCCTATGTAAATGCAGTCAACTATGCACCAATGGCATCAGTCCAGTTGGTCCAACACACTTCAGAAGTGCTGGGTCAGTCTCAGACAAATTACAAGGGCATCTCCATTCCTCTCCTCCCAGTGGCTCCTCTCTCTGACTGTTGGGTGTCTCCAAGTAGCCAGACAGCTGATTCCCTTACTCTGGTGGTAAGAGCAGTCCTCCATGTAGTCTCTATCGCCGCTCCTCCTCTTGCCTGGCTGTAGGGAGGTAGCCGGCTGGTCCAGTTCTGTGTGCTTCAGCCAACTCTTCTGAGTTCAAGTGTTACACCAAACTATATGTACGGTATTTAACATGTCTGGCATGATGGATAGAATTAGCTGCTATAGAACCTGCAGTCAGAAGTTTGTTCACACCTTGTGCTTTAATGTGGGTTTTGTGATATTATCAATTATGATTCAATCACTATCTGATCAAGGTTTGTCGCATCTACACATGGTATTAAAATGTTTCTTATCCGTCCACATTGTGACCAGATTTCCTGGTGGCTCCCTGTATGCAAATTATTTGTATTTTGTCATTATCTGTCAATCATTTTACAGGGTGGTATAATGATTTAAATGGTTTGACCATCCAGATCTGTTTACACTTGTAAAATATCCAATGGGTCCCTGACTACCTCCGGATGTGAACCGTGGACACAGCTCTCTGGTGTGACTGAGCTACGCCACGGGGAGAGGGTTTAGGGGTCTGTGTTCATATTTACATATCAAAATAAGAGTGTGTCCCCTACAGAGTACTCCTCACAACATGTCTGCCAGTCAGAGGCCCTACACTTTATTACTCAGATTTTATTTTTTTTAACTAAAAGAAGGGATGGAGAGGGGAGAAGGTGTTTAGGCCAGGTAGCTGTATGTCTTAAAGAACTATTACATTTGTTGAAATATTACAGTTTGTGCAATGTGTGTGAGTGCAATGAGAATGTACTGTGACAGGTAAGAGTGTGTATGTGTGTGTTACCTTGATGACGGGGACTCTGGGTTTGAAGTGAGAGGAGAGCTAGTTGAGGACTTCAGCCAGTAGCTGCTGGTGTTTCAGAACCTTCCTGATATTCATTATTCTCCCTATGGCAGCCTGCACCACACACAGTGTTTCAGCATGTACAGACACATTCAGTAAAACATGTCATTTTGCAGTATGGAATATGTATGACCACACCTGTAAGGAGTTTGTGGTCCTCCTTGATGTTCTTGTGTGTGGTCTCCTGCTCCTGTTCAGTCTCCATAGGAACGTTAATGTTCACACGCAGCTTCTTACTGGAGTTATGAACAACAAATAGTTTTAGGATTACATCCATGCTTTGATAGACAGCGAGATGAAGACAGAAGGAGACAGACAGTGGAGGACTTCTTGTATCCCAGGAATACATACATTATTTTATGTAATTTTAGACAAAGCCTTTTCATTGTTAAAATAGACTAATATTTGTTTTTCTTCACACACAAAAAAAAGAATACTCTCACAAGTAGGCCCTAATCGAATACTAAAGTCCATTCGGATATTCGAATAACTGTGCCCATCCCTAACAGGCAAGTGAAGGCCTTATTCCCAATTTAACCCTTTCATTTGCTCCCCTCCCCCTTAGAGTGTGGGATACGTGTAGAGCTCCATGTAGCCATACTTGGGACATGCTCTGTCTTGCGTACAACTGCTCCAGCCTGATCTGCTTCAGCCCATGAGGGCTCTGGTTCCTGTTGGACGACATTGTCAAGTTCTCTTCTCGCTCGGAGCTGTTCTCTCTCCTGTCCTGTCCTTTCTCTCCTCTCAGGTGTGTCGTCCATAGGAGGCTGGTGTGTGTGAGTAAGTTTGGCTCAGTCTGCAGTCCCACTCCACAGGCCTAGGTGGCGCTGTCTGCTGTTATTCCTCCTTACAGCCTCATGTGGCAGCATCTATCCACGAGACCTTGATGAATAAGCGAGACGAAAACAGTGGTTACTAACCTAACCCTCAATAAAGAACAAAAAGCTGAACTGAACATAAAACTCATGTACTGTAGGTGTTCATGAGTTGTTGTCCTCTCCAGCATAGCCATCTAGTGACTACTACGTCACCACAACTGCAACTAGGGATGGGTTTTTGACTTATTTTTTTACTGTTCCAGTACTCGCATGATGTGCGCATTTTTCTATATACCAACAGTGGGCAACATTGCCTAATTTATCATAATCATTACAGATAACAAATCCTAATTGCCCCATATACAGTGCCTTCAGAAACTATTCACACCCCTTGACTTTTTCAACATTTTGTTGTGTTACAGCCTGAATTTAAAATGGATTAAATTGAGATTTTGTGTCACTGGCCTACACACAATACCCCATAATGTCAAAGTGGAATTATGTTTTTAGAAATGTTTACAAATAAATAAAAAATGAAAAGCTGAAAGCCTAAATACATTCAGGCGTAAAGATTTGCTTAATAAGTCACATAAGTTGCATGGACTCACTCTGTGTGCAATAATAATGTTTTAACATGATTTTTGAATGAATACCTCATATCTGTCCCCACACATACACATCTGTAAGGTCCCTCAGTCGAGCAGTGAATTTCAAACACAGATTCAACCACAAAGACCAGGGAGGTTTTCCAATGCCTCGCAAAGAAGGGCACCTATTGGTAGATGGGTAAAAATAAAATAAAGCAGACATTGAATATCCATTTGAGCATGATGAAGTTATTAATTACACTTTGGATGGTGTATCAATAAACCCAGTCACTACAAAGATACAGGCATCTTCCTAACTCAGTTTCCGGAGAGGAAGGAAACCGCTCAGGGATTTCACCATGAGGTCGATGGTGACTTTAAAACTGTTTCAGAGTTTATTGGTTGTGATAGGAGAAAGCTGAGGATGGATCAACAACATTGTAGTTATTCCACAATACTAACCTAATTGATAGAGTGAAAAGAAGGAAGTCTGTACGTAATACAAATATTCCAAAACATGCATCCTGTTTTCAACAAGGCACTAAATACAGCAAAAAATGTGGCAAAGAAATTCACTTTTTGTCCTGAATACAAAACGTTATGTTTGGGGCAAATCCAACACAACGCATCACTGAGTACCACTCTTCATACTTTCAAGCATGGTGGTGGCTGCATCATGTTATGGTTATGCTTATAATCGTTAAGGACTGGGAATTCTTTTCAGGATAAAAAAGAAACGGAATTGAGCTAAACATCCTAGAAGAAGACCTGGTTCAGTCTGCTTTCCACCAGACACTGGGAGATGAATTCACCTTTCAGCAGGACAATAACCTAAAACACAAGGCCAAAGCTACACTGGAGTTGCTTACCAAGAATACAGTGAATGTTTCTGAGTAGCCTAGTTAAAGTTTTGACATAAATAGGCTTGAAAATCTATGGCTGTCTACCAATGATCAACAACCAACTTGACAGAGCTTGCAGAATTCTTGCAAGAGTAATGGGCAAATATTGTACAATCCATGTGTGCAAAGCTCTTAGCGATTTACCCAGAAAGACTCACTAACTGGACATTACTTTCCTTCCTTCTCCCACCAGCATGTCTGCAGACCGTCTTTACAGATGCTGTGGCTACACAACAGGATGACATGATCCCTGAAGATGTCATAGCACACAGGACAGGAGAGATCCTCCCTCTGGGAGACATGATCTGGAAGCCATTATCTCTCACGGTCACACTCCCTCCTCCAGAATGGCTTCTGGAGGCAACAGGTCACTTCCAAGACTCACCCTTGTTTGGTTAGCAGTATCTGAAAGTCACAGTTTAGGTGGAATATTATTTTGTTCTGTTTGAACTCTGAATCTGTCTGTTTTTAGTGAGTTTAAGTCCTGTTTTTAAATACTTTTCCGACGGAACAGGTAAATGATCACCTGTACCTGAGAGAGCTGAGTTTTACAGGGTTGTGCAGTATATTAGCTTGTGCAGGTGCATGTCTGGATGAGAATATGAATGAGGGGTTGAACTTTGAGTCAACTGGAACTCTGTACATTCTGTTACTGTTCTCCTCAGTGTTCTAAACCAGGGCTATTCAATTCTGGTCCTGGAGGGCCAAAACACTTGTGTTTTTGGTTTCTACCTGGTAGAATAGCGCTCACCTGGTGTCCCAGGTCTAAATTAGTCCCTTATTAGAAGGAGAGGATGAAAACCAGAAGTGTTTGGACCCTCCAGGAATAACATTGAACAGCCCTGTTCTGAACCTAGCTTGGTCCCAGATCTGTGTGTGCTCTTGCCAACTCCATTGCTCATTGTCAAGCCATTGGCATGATAGTACACAAACAGCCTGGCACTTAGGCTGTTCTAAAACCTCACACTGAGAAAACATGTTTTTGTCAAATTTTATTATAGAGAATTACTGGTAATAAAAATACATACAATAGGCCTTACAAATAATTTACAATACACAGGGTGGGTAGAATACCTCACGTTTAGTTTAACAGCTCCTTCTCTCTCAGCCAGAGTCGGCCTGCTCTGCTGAGGTTCAAACCCTACAGCGCTGGTCAGGGTGGGTGTGGGCTCCCGTTGCCTCCAAACAGGTCAAACCACCTGGAGCCGCGCCAACCATAAGGATGCAACTGCCAAGATACTTCATATATACCTAGTCCTCACTGACCAGGCATCGGTCAGCTCACATCCCTACAGTATGAACACTCTCTGTACTCGTCCCACTCACCAATAGGCAGGCAGCAGCACCAAGGACCTGGGTTGGTTGTTCTAAAATAAATCAACACCTCTCTCTGAGACAACACACCACTAGATTGCACTCTTTTTCATGGTTCTTTGAGCCAGATAGGAATCATTATCCTTCCCAGCAGCCATCAGTTTTCCAGCCCATCTGGCATCCTCCAGAACAAAAGCGTCTAATGGTTAAACTTCCCAAATAATGTTAAAATGAATATACGGTTAAGTGTGACTGACTGTCAAGTAGACTTGAAAGATGAGCAGAAACATGGAGGGGAAGGGCGATGGTAGTGTACTGTGACATGGTTGATCAAGAAAAAGGGGTTTACACTCATACAGCTCAATTACCTTTAACATTCAATACATTTCACTGTCAAACAACAATTTATGTTCATTATAAAATATAATTGAGTTGATTTGTAAGATGAATTTTGACCTATAAACCTATAGTGACACACGTATCATAATCAATAAATGTCATCAGAAGTGCTGTTGCACTAGACAGAGATTCTAACTATGCTGTACTTTTACAGAGGCCTTCACTGGTACGATTCTCAGAGGGGAGAGCTTGCAGTAACTACCCAAGAATGGAAAGACTCTCTCAGTGAAAGTATGTGTAATAGTGTATAAACATGTGTTATTATCAGGGTCTGAGAATGACAGTTTTCCTTTATCCCAGTCCAGCTGCACTCTGATCCTCTGTGGTTTCTGTGCCACTGGGAGTACACTGGTTGATTCTGGCGGGGAAAATGCACCATATTTATCTTTGAAGTGCCAGAATCGCCAGTGTCCAGTCTTAACTGCTGCCTTCCTCTGGACAGACTTTTGTATCACACCCAGTGACCAGAATGTATTGTTCCCAACCTCAATGTCCCAGCTGTGTGTCCCTGAGTTAAAGCCCTCAGAACCCAAGATCCATACATAGTAATCAAACCTCTCTGGGTTATCAGGAAGCTTCTGTTTCTCATTGCTGCATTTCACACTGGTCAGATTCTCAGATAGGATGAGACCTGGGTGGGCAGTGTTAGGGTCCAGAGTAACAGGACCTGAGTGCAAAGAGCAGATTTACTAGATTAGAAATGTGGGTGATTTCAAGTTGATGCTGTTTAAAAATATATATATTTTTGGATGCCTGGAAGAACAAGTCAAATGTATAATAGTTGTGGACCACTGTCAATGATACTGGTTACTTGTACTGCACAGTTGACGGTCAGGCAGATAAATGCATTTTAGTATCATCATAAATTGATATTTATTTACTGTATTTCACAATCCCCTGCATCTTCTCCCAGACTCTGAACTGCAGGTTTCCCAGGTGTTTGGCCACGTCTATCAGCGCTCCTGAGACCAGCTGTGGATCCGGCAGTGTGCACTGGGTTCTGGAAGAACATTAGGGAGTCAGTGTTGCTGTAGGGTTGGGTTCAGAACCAAAGAACAGAGAGAGACAGCAGACAGATGACTTACCTTTTCACTATGGCCTCGTAGTTCTACAGAACAAAAGAACAGATTGAGTCCGTCAATCGATATTAACTAGTCAACCGATAATCGTACCCTAAAATTTAGAGAGAGCAGTCCTGACCTGCAGAAACGAGATGTCTTCAGCTTTCAGCTCCTCCTCTATGGTTCTGACTGTGTCTGAAAGTGATGATATCTCTCTGGTCATCTCCTCAATTTTCTCCTTCATCATCTGACCCTTCTGCTCCTCTTCCTCCCTCAGAACAGCTATCCTCACCTCCTCTTCCTCTCGTAGAAACTGGTGGAGCTTCTGAAAATCTTTTTTAATCATCATCTCTGTGTGCTGGGCCTGGTTCTGTAGACAAGAGAGAAGAAATGTATTACATTATTTAAATGTTAATTTTCACAGTTTACCCACAAAATACTTTGAGTAGAATCCATACAATTCTATGTTCTCTACCCACTCAGCATCCTCACCTTAATGTGTTTTACTGTTTGGTCACAGGTTTGTTTAACTTTATTAAAGACATCCAGCTTCTCCTGTAAGGGCTTCAGGAAAGTCTGGAGTTCCTCCTGCAATGAGGGGTTATTTTATTGAAGAGAATCGGTACTTTGTTTTTTCATTACACCTCTGTGTACAAGTCAGGTTATGTGAGTATAGTAGTTAGGTGTCACATCATATGTGTGTGGTTAGGCGGTTGTACTTAGGTACTCTTCAATCCGGATAGATCTGTTTTTACAGGAATGAGGAAATTATTTGCATCAATATTCTCCAATGAGAAAAATACTTGGAAAATATGTATTTGACACTGGTTTCACACACAGAAGTACCTCCATAAATACAACAACAAATGGACACTAACTGTACATTATATTTTAGATATGATTGATATGTACTGCATTTTAAATTCACATGTTCATGCTACTGTACCTTTTGACACTGTGCAGTTTCATCTATAGGGCAGCAGTTGTGGTTTTTGTGTTTTCTGGAGGCCTGGCACACCACACAGATGGGCTGTTTATCCTCCAGACAGAAGAGCTTGAGTTTCTCGTTGTGCAGATTGCAGCGCTCCTCAGACTCCCCTGAATCTCTCCGACTCCTCTCCTGTAAGAATGCCTCACACAGGTTCTTTAAGACCAGGTTACAGGGAGGATTGCCTTTTGAATTGCTTCTCTTCCTGCACACTGGACATTCCCGAGATCGCCTCTGTTTCCAGTATTCCTGCAGACAGGCTTTACAGACGCTGTGGCTACACGACAGGACCACAGGATCCTTGAAGATCTCACGGCAAAAAGGACAGGAGAGATCCTCCTTCGGAGAAGCTGATCTGGAAGCCATTCTGTTCTTGAGACACTCCCTCCTCTGGAATGACTCAGAGAGAATCTCAATTGCATACTCCTCGCATCCTCTCTCCTCTGTCCTCGCCTCCTTCTCAAAACCTATTGGAGGAGAAAGTCAGAGGGGCGGGACCTCTGGATTTCTCATCCAATGGGTTTTGAGAAGGAGGCGAGGAGAGAGGACGCAAGGAGTATGAAATTGAGATTCTGCCTAGTACGGAAGTTAACTTTCAAGGCTGTAGAAATGTAACTGTGATTCCGCCAGCAGCAGCTTGAGGTCAGTGTTTGGATAGTAATCCTTGCTGTGTAAAGGCAGTCTCTAGTCACTGGGAGTAACTGAGCTTGTTCCCTGTATTCCAAAGGGGTGGAGCTTTCTGAGACCAGGAAACTTATTTGGCATGGCAGTGCACACGTTCTTATTATACCTCAGTGAGTGCACATAGAGAAATCAGGAATGATGAGGGAGCTTCAGGAAGCATTTAGGGGCGAGGGGGAGTGGCTAGACTGTCTGAGAGATAGAGCTACAGTCAACCAGGAACAAACCCCACCACACTGTCCCTTCTCTGCCAACAGCTGAACATGAGGAACAAGGAAGTAATTTCGCAAGCAGCTAAAGGACAAGCTCACAATTTCAATCAATGTTTATCACTATTTATTACAGATTTACAAACTATTGTCAATCAAGGCCTTTATAAACCAATTATCTGTAGGCCAATACAAAATAATAATCCGTAGTCTTTTACAAAATAATGATATGCAGGCCTATACAAAACAATGATCTGTAGGCCTAACAATCATGGTTATGGTTAGTGATTTTGGGTAGGGACTAATCAGTAATGAGTATGCAACCCAAACCATAGTAACACGCTGCAGCAGGCAGTGGAGATGTACTTTTCCACTGTTACAGAGGCCTTGAATGATAGCTGTGTGTCCCTGAGTTAAAACCCTATGAGTCCAGGAGCCATACATATCTATCAAACCTCTCTGTGTTGACTTGGGTAAAAGTCTGAAAGTATTTGCTTTAAATATACTTAAGTATCGAAAGTAAATGTAATTGCTAAAATATACTTAAGTATCAAAAGTAAAAGTAAAAGTATAAATCATTATAATAAGCAAACCAGACGGCACCATTTTCTTGTTTATTTTATTTACAGATACCCAGGGGCACACTCCAACAATCAGACATTAATTTATAAACAAAGCATTTGTGTTTAGTGAGTCCACCAGATCAGAGGCAGTAGGGATGACCAGGGATGTTCTCTTGATAAGTGTGTGAATTTGACTTTTTTTCTTGTCCTGCTAAGCATTCAAAATGTAACAAGTACTTTTGGGTGCCAGGGCAAATGTATGGAGTAAACAGTACATTATTTTATTTAGGAATGTAGTGGAGTTAAAGTAAAAGTTGTCAACAATATAAATTGTAAAGTAAAGTACAGATACCCCAAAAACTACTGAAGTAGTCTAGCAGTGCTTCTGAGATCAGCTGTGGATCCGTCAGTGCGCACTGGGTATTGGAATAACATTCAGGAGTCAGTGCTGCTATGTGGTTGGGTTCAGACCACCCTCTGCAGGGTCGGAAAACAATCGGATGCATCCGGTTTTCAGGGGAAATGGAAAAAGAGCCTGTGACACCACTTCCGCTTTTGGACGTTAACAAGGCGACATTCCATCTTAACTCCTCCACATTTACTAGATTGGTTCAACAGTGCAGAAGAGAACCTCCCCCAACCGTTTTTTTTTATCTTCTCCTACGCCTGCTACATTAGGTTAGGTTCAGAGTGAAAGAAAAGAGAGAGGGAGGCAGGTCACTTAACTTTCCCTCAAGGCCTTAAAGTAATTACCAGACTGATTCCAGCTGCAGTGAACCGTTCATGTAAGCTCGGGGATCAGGCGGCTCGTGAGGCTATTAAAGTTCTGCAGAGGAACAAAAGGCCAGATTAAATGTATTTAACAATCAAACAATCAATAACAATCTGTCAATCAATAAAAACCGAGGGTAACGCTTCCTTTCAAGGTGTCCTTATTACTGTGTAATTACATGTGTAAATATACTGTAACAAGTATCGTAGTTAACTGTAACGACTCACAGTTACAATGTAATAACAACATTGCGATCTGTAATTACAGAAGTGTAAGAAGGAATGCTTGTTACCATGCTTGCTACAAATGGGCAGGTTTCCACTAAATTCACCAACTTAGTGTTTCACTTCTCCTCAGCTGCATCTGATTGATTAACAACTGTGACAAAGGTTGGGATCCCTTGTGGATGCGCTGGGTGTCAGAGATTATAGCCTACGCTCAATAGGCTCTAATTACTTAACCATGAATGTGCACTGTTCAAAATATATATCCAGTCAATGTTGTTGCTAGCACTTGCTCCCAAAATAAAGTGTACCATCTGGGTTAAGCTTACGAAAACAGATCTAATACGAGTGTCATCCCAGATGAGGAATAAGACACTATTTTAAAGCACGTATTATTTGCCTAAGTACAATGTAATTACTAGTTGTTATACAATATTTAGCTAGTTAAAATGAAGTGTATCTTGAGGAGTACTTATTTGTAACGAAAGGGTACTTATACAGTACATTACCCATCCTGACAACCTGGCCCTCATTTTAAACCTTTTGGAAGTGCGATCCAAGTGGGAGAATAAACATACTAGTACACCATAGAGTACATTTAATTTTTGCATAAGTACAATGTAATTACTAGGTGTTACACAGGATTTGGCTAGTTATAATTATGTTTATCTTGAGGGGTACTTACTTGTAATTATAGTGTACTGATAGCCAGTGATGGAAAAGGTACCCAATTGTCATACTTGACAGTAAACATACCTTAATAGAAAATGATGGAAGTAAAAGTCACCCAGTAAAAATTTTCTTAAGTAAAAGTCAAAGTATTTGGTTTTAAATATACTTAAGTATGAAAAGTAGAAGTATATACACTACCAGTCAAAAGTTTGGAAACACCTACACATTCAAGGGTTTTTCTTTATTTTGACAATATTTTACATTGTAGAATAATAGTGAAGACATCAAAACTATGAAAAAACACATATGAAATCATGTAGTAACCAAAAGAGTGTTAAATAAATCAAAATATATTTGAGATTTTTCAAATAGCCTTGATGACAGCTTTGCACACGCTTGTCATTCTCTCAACCAGCTTCATGAGGTAGTCACCTGGAATGCATTTCAATTAACAGGTGTGCCTTCTTAAAAGTTAATTTGTGGAATTAATTTATTTATTAATGCGTTTGAGCCAATCAGTTGTGTTGTGACAAGGTAGGGGGGGTATACAGAAGATAGCCCTATTTGGTAAAAGACCAAGTCCATATTATGGCAAGAACAGCTCAAATAAGTAAAGAGAAACAACAGTCCAGCATTACTTTAAGACATGAAGGTCAGTCAATCCGGAAAATTTCAAGAACTTTGAAAGTTTCTTCAAGTGCAGTCGCAAAAACCATCAAGCGCTATGATGAAACTGGCTCTCATGAGGACCGCCATAGGAATGGAAGACCCAGAGTTACCTCTGCTGCAGAGGATAAGTTCATTAGAGTTACCAGCCTCAGAAATTGCAGCCCAAATAAATGCTTCACAGAGTTCAAGTAACAGACACATCTCAACATCAACTGTTCAGAGGAGACTATGTGAATCAGGCCTTCATGGTTGAATTTCTGCAAAGAAACCACTACTAAAGCACACCAATAAGAAGAGGAGACCTGCTTGTGCCAAGAAACACGAACAATGGACATTAGACCGGTGGAAATGTGTCCTTTGGTCTGGAGTCCAAATTTGAGATTTTTGGTTCAAACCGCTGTGTCTTTGTGAGACGCTGTGTGGGTGAACGGATGATCTCTGCATGTATAGTTCCCACAGTAAAGCATGGAGGAGGAGGTGTTATGGTGTGGGGGTGCTTTGCTGGTGACACTGTCTGTGATTTATTTAGAATTCAAGGCACACTTAACCAGCATGGCTACTACAGCATTCTTAAAACATTTAAACCACAGGTCAGGTGTATTCAGGATGTTTGGAACATTAAATGAACAAACAAAAAATTGGACTACTTTGAGATTTTGGGGGGATGAAATGTTAAGTATGCTAATATTTTTTTGTAATATATTTTAGTTGGTTTGACACTTTATTCAGACAGTAATGAAATGAGATTGGGAGACAGGCAAATGCTAGAAACAGTGGGAAGGTTTGATCCCTGTTCTCAGGTGGAAAGTTGTATGCGACACATGCCAGGGAGTGATACCACTACACCAAGGCGCTCTACACAGGACATTTGAATATTAATGGTTGATGGCAGTGGGTAATCAAATTATAGATCGCAGTCTCCTTGTCTATAGACTGATTTCAAGGTAAGGACACAAACATTTTGTATTTTGAAATGTGGGTGAATTCTCTTTAAAATAGGGCTGGAATTGTTATACCAATTATTTTCTCAAACCTTCCAGAAAAATCTAATGACTATCAATATTCAGGTGGTGTATTATGCCTACTAGTTGAAGATCCCTGTCATCATCTTCCTCTACATAGACACAATATGATGTTTATGAGTTGTGAGTCCCCCTACCATCTCTGCCTAGCGTGTGCACAATACTAAAATGTCAAAAATTATATTTGATTCCTGGAGCATTTCATATCCAATGCTTATTTGTATGACTTATACAAAACTAGCCATGAATGGCTGCACAAATACATAGCCTCATATAATTCATTTTCAAAGACACAAGCAATATCAGATTTCAAATATGTGATTACTGTCACGAACCGGCCCATAGCAAATAGGGAGACAACATGGAGAGAAGGAATAACAAAATATATTTATGAACTAAAATAGTAAAAATAAAGAAAATATTTAAAGCAAACTATATACAATTAACAATGGCATGTGTAGTCAGTAATCAGTAGTGTGAGTGAGTGGATGCATAGATGTGATAATGAGGAGTGTTGAAAGGTTCCAAAGCAAAACAAACAATACAGCCACAAAAATGCCACAACCAAAATCCAACAGTGTGTCTGCATGGAGAGAGTCTCCACAATAAATGGGGGAAAGGTGTATTTATCCCTGGGACACACCCGTGCCCAGGTGTGTCCCATTTCTCTGACGACCCTCCCGGCTCCACCCACCAATATCCTATTAGGGAAAACAAGAACATAGAGAGAATTCGGCAGACTGAGTGGGAGGGTCCCCCCAACCCCCCCATAAAACCAGGGACCACCAAGGACCCTGGAACACCACACCAACCATACATACATACATAAACACAAACAAAATACTGCCCTGGTTAGCCCTATCCCACTGCCATAGCCAACCTCATCCTCCCCAGACCTCAGCAACCTTTGCGCACAGGAAGCAACCTTTAAGAGGAAAGAAGTAAACGAGAACAGCAGGGAGCAACAGAACGACACAAAATAAACAGTAGTCAGTCAGGTGGACGACACGCATACACTCGGGGACCACGCGTGTCCACCGATCAAAAGGACCAGGTTCGTTCAGGACCAGGGTGCACGAGAGAGCGCGTCAGCAACAACATTATCAGTCCCCCTGATGTGCTGCACCTCGAGATGGAAGGCCTGTAAAAACAAACACTATCTCTTATCCTCTGGTTGGGACACATCATAGACCTACACCCGACCCGACATACACTTCGAAGTGTTGTAGTGCCCATATGAGTGCTAGCGCTTCTTTTTCCACCACAGAGTAGTTCAACTGATAACGGTTACATTTCTTGGAAAATAAACTAACAGGCCTCTCAACACCAGACACATCTGCTTGCAGCAGGACTGCACCTGCCAGCCACGTGACTCGCATCCACCTGCAAGGTGAATGACAAATCCACGCAAGGAGCAGCCAGCACCGGAGTCGAGGTAAGCAACCTCTTCGCATCCTCAAAAGCCTGTTGACAGAGAGGAGACCAGATGTAAACCGCCTTAGCTTTCAGGGGAGCGACTATGGTAGAGAAATTCCTACAGAAACTATGGTAATAACCAATAATTCCCAAGAAACATATCAGTTCCTTTTTAGTAGTTGGCGGTGGAAAAGCATCAATAGCTACCACTTTAGCCCGAACAGGACACACTTCACCCTGCCCAACCACCTTACCAAGGTACGTAACGGTCGCCTGAGCAAACTCACACTTAGCCAGATAGTGAGGCGACCCACCGCCAGGCGGTAGAACAAGGCTTGAATACGGGACAGATGCTCCTCCCAAGTATCTGCATAAACCACTACATCGTCCAGATAAACAGCGCACCCGACCAGACCGGAGACAAGCCTATTCATAAGGCGCTGAAAAGTAGCAGGTGCGTTACGCAGCCAGGAACTCATAACCGAATACTAGTACAGACTAGAGGGTGTAATAAAGGCAGAGATTTCACGTGCCCTACTCGTCAGTGGCACCTGCCAATAGCCCTTTAACAGGTCAAACTTGCTCACAAACTTAGCTGCTCCGACCTGATCAACGCAGTCCTCCATCCGAGAAAGAGGAAATTAATCTGGCTTAGTGACACTGTTTACCTTACGGTAGTCCAAACAAAATCTGTTAGTCCCTTCTGGTTTACTGACCAAGATACAGGGAGAAGCCCAGCTAGAGAAAGAAGGTTCTGCAATATCACACTACAGCATGTACTTTATCTCAGCATCCAGACAACGCCGTTTCTCTGAAGAAACTCTATAGAACAGCTGACGGATGGGGTCAGCATCCCCAACGTCAATATCATGTTCTATTAAGTTTGTAAGAGTAGGTGTATCAGAAAACAAAACTGGAAAACCAACCAGCTCGTCTCGCCTATCAGCAGGTAGATGAGTGAGAAGGCTATCCAAAACATCCAGTGTCTCTGAATTTTTCAATCTACCCTGCAGTACTCAATCGTTGGGACCAGGGACATCCTCATCACCATGCACGGACCTAGCATGAGAAAAATAACCCAGTGATGTAACAGTACCGGCCAAAAGAACAGGTTTACCGTCCTCTGCGGACTCACACTCTTCGGCCCCAGAGGAACGTACTTAATAGGGTTTTAGCAGATTTACATGGCACAGTTGGTGCGCTTTCCTCCGTTCCGGAGTGGTAACTAGACAGTTTTGCTCAGTGCACTGGCACACAACCATATATGGACCTTGAAACTTGGCGTGAAAAGGAGAACCAACAATTGGCAGCAGAGCAAGAACCTGGTCACCTGGACTAAAGTGACGAGGCTCAGCTTGCCGATCAAATATGCCTTTCATCCTCCCTTGTGAACATGATAGCTTCTCTTTAGCCATCTCACCAGCAGTGTACAGGCGTCGCCGGAAATCACATACATAAGATAACAGAGACTGAGGTGGCTCAGGAGACTTCCAGTCATCCTGAAGCACCGCTAGAAGTCCACGAACACTATGTCCGAACACTAGGTCATTAGAACTGAAACCCGTGCTCTCCTGTGAAACCTCCCTGGCGGCTAACAGTAACCAAGGCAACCCCTCCTCCCAATCCTTATCCTTCTCCGTACAATAAACACTCAAAGACTTAAGTGTTTGATGGAAACATTCCAGCGCTCCTTGACTCTGCACCTGATAGGCGCTAGCCAAATTATGTTTAATATGGAGCTGTTGGAGAACCTGACCAAACAGATTAGAGGTGAAATTAGAACCTTGATCCCTCTGAATGACCTCAGTGAGAAACTGAGTCAAAGCTTTTAGCACAGACTTAGTGGTGACAGATCAGAGAGGATAGGCAGCAGGAAACCTAGTGGTCTGACACCACAGTGAACAGGTAACTACTACCATTTTAGAGCGAGGCAGAGGGCCAACACAGTCAATAATCAGATACTCAAAAGGTTGGCTGAGTACGGGAATAGGAAACAGCGGTACCGGCTTAATAGCTTGATTAGGTTTACCCGATAATTGACAGCTGTGACAGAAACATCCCTCTAACCTAGGCCAAAAGAAATGCCTCAGTATGCGATTGTAGGTTCTCACGCCCAGATGTCCAGCAACATCGTCGTGGGAAGTTTTCAGCACCAACTCACAAAGCTTAACTGGTACCACAACCTGACTAATTGCCTCCCCCACAGAACTACTACCATGAGGCACCCATTTTCTCATTAGGACATCATCCTGGAGAAAATAGCCATGGGCGACATCTCCCAAATGTTCCACAGGCACAATTTTGTCACGCAACTCTTCTAATGTGGGGTCAACCCGCTGCTCTTTGATTAGATCAGAGCGGGGCACAGATAACCGGATAACAGGGAAAGTAGTGACAGATTTCTTTGTACCATCATCATTAGCCGGCGCTGTGACCAGGTCGCCATGGCTCATGGATCGCCGACAGTGTCATGATAGCTGACACTGTCGGCTACACCAAGAGATGAATATGCTTCCTGCTCTTTACCAGTCAACACACACTGCAACATTAAAGTGCGGTCAGAGTCAGGCCAACTCCTAGCGTCAGCAACACGCTCAAGCAATGAAAATAATGTCTCAGGTTCCCTCTCATTACATTTTGTCAACAGCCGTAAGTTTCCAACACTATAAAATGTGTCCGGGGCACGACTGAGAGAGGAGCGACCCCTAGGTAAATCAAGGTCACCTTCCCAGAGCAAACTCTCCCCCAAGAGCTTTCCTTCCCTAACCAATTCTAACCACTCCTGTTGAGGCTTGACTTTAACACGCTCCAAATCCTGTTTAAATTCCAATTCCTTTTCATACTTCAATATCAACTTAACATGTATTTCACTGATTTCAACCTGGTAGTGTTCAGCGATCTTAAACAGCTGTTCTTTAGTACATAATTCTAACAGTTCCTCTGATGGAATGCGAATGAACTCATCTACATTAGAAGCTATTGTCACAAATAACTACTAAAAATAATCTCGCTCTTCCCCTCTGCTGAGCACACCAGACCACATCAAGAGAAGAGCCAATCACACTGGACACCACAGGAGAGAGATGAGATATATAAGGAGATTCCCCAAATCCTACAATAACTCAACCCCTAGTCTTCGTGCGGATTCGCGTGGGTAATTACTCACTGTAGCCCGCTGGCATGGAAAAAATAAACAGCACGTTTCCGGATTCCAACCCAAGCCATGGATGTGCCCCCGATGCTCCGTCCACGGACACCACACAAAAAGAACAAACAATCCACCGCAGTGGCTAGTTTATCAAACAAAAGGCAACCAACAATAGGCCTACCAAACATCACAACTAAAAAAAACCTGTACCAAAAGATGCAAAAAAGCACCTAAATAGTTTATCGAACACTAACTCCACGTTTTCTACCAAACAAAATACTCATACCAGTTAGCCAAACAACACTAGTATTAGGCCTACTGGCATACTTTACCAGGCAACGCACCGTTTGATAACGTCACCGGACATCCCAAGTAACATTAACCCATCATAATGCAACAAAATACTATAAGCAAAAATGGCTAAGAACCAACCTTATAATGATGATCCCGGACGAGCCACCACTTGTCACGAACCGGCTCGTAGCCCATAACAAATAGGGAGATAAGGAATAACAAAATATATTTATTAACTAAAGCAAACTATATACAATTAACAATGGCATGACGCAAGGCTCGCAAACTTGGCTATACCCACTGGATACGACTATGGGCCTATAGCATTCACATAATAATGGGAGTCAGATTGATAAATATAGTTTATTATTATTCAATATAATTTTACACATACATGTACATAACGGCGACCCCTCATCCTTAGTTGATGGTGATTTCCACCAACCTACATAATAGAAACTAAATGGGAATTTTATTTATTAGGCTACAGTACATAAAACAGCGCTACCATGCTGCTCTTTTTACAGTTTTATAAACTCAGCGGAGAACGTTCTCTCTCTCCATTCAGCTCCACTCTAATCTTGAGGGGCGTTTCTTTAAAACATGCATTCAATCCCCTTGATCCTTTACATAACTAGACCAATCATATGCTTTAATGTGCCGCGATTCGTAGTGCTGTGGCAAGACAGGACAATGGTAGCGGTTCTGCTCGTAATGTTAAATTGCAGGCGCAGATGCTCCGATTTCAAAACGATTTGGAGCACAGTTGAAAAGTTAACGCGCTGACTATACAATGGACTAATTAGAAAATTAAAAGCAGTACTTTTCAATGCGTGAGATATGAGGTGTGCCGTGAGAGCGTGTGTCTCACGGTCAATGCGTGAGAGTTGGCAGCACTGGTATTAGCTAGCACGCTAGCTAGCAAGTTTTCTAACCTTGGCTAGCTAGCTAGCTAAGTTACCAAACCTAAAGCTGGCAAATAGCTATGCTATGGTCACAGGTAGAACAATGAGACAGATATTTCACCGGATGTGTAAGAAGCATCCGGTTGGCGTTTCCACTCACTACTAAATAAGGTGGTGAGAGGAAGCCAAGTGGCCGGCAGTGGGGGAAGACATTCTGCTTATTTTCTCATCGATGAAACATTTGATCTCAATCCAGTTTTCTGTTTCCAAAACTAGAATCTGTTACTAACAGAGTGGACCAACTTTTTTAGACTTTACCTATGAAGACAGAGACAGAGTTGTTGATTTCCGTTGCTACATGTAATGTTAAAAAGGGGAGAAAATGACTCCCGTTTTTCTGAATTAGCTAGCTAGGCTACTCACCATTCTATTGGCTACAGATTTGATCACCACTAGAATAGTGATTTTTATGTTATATCTTTGCTTAATCTAATTAATCTAATTATTAATATAACAATAAAAATCCTTATTATTTTGTAAGTAATGTAAGCTATTTTTACATTTTGCAATAAAGTTGACTAAAGTAGAAGCTTATCTATTGTTTGTAGGTGTTTTCACTTGGTAATGAGTAGTAGGTTTAAGTAATTATATAGAAATTGCAAAATCCTGTGTAACACCTAGTAACGACATTGTATTTATGCAGATATTACATGGACTCTGTGTTGTACCAGTGTGTTTATTTTTCACTTGGATGGCGCTTTCAGAAGCTGACAATTACATTGTCAGGATGGGGAACGTACTTTGCAGGTACACTATAATCACAAGTCAGTACCCCTCAAGACACACTTCATTTTAACTAGATAAATCCCGTGTAACAGCTAGTAATTACATTGTACTTATGTGAACATTACATGTACTCTATGGTGTACTAGTGTGTTCATTCTCCCACTTGGATGGCACTTCCAGAAGCTTTAAAATGAGGGCCAGCTTGTCAAGATGGGTAATGTACTGTATAAGTATACATTCATTACAAATAAGTACTCCTCAAGATACACTTCATTTTAACTAGCTAACTCCTGTATAACAACTAGGAATTACATTGTACTTAGGCAAACAATACATGTGCTTTGAAATAGTGTCTTATTCCTCATCTGGCATGACACTAGTATTAGATCTGTTTTCATAACCTCAACCAAGTTAACCCAGATGGTACGCTTTATTTTGGGAGCAAGTGCTAGCAACAACGTTGACTGGAGATATATTTTGAAGAGTGCACATTCATGGTTAAGTAATTAGAGCCTATTGAGCGTAGGCTATAATCTCTGACACCCAGCGCATCCACAAGGGATCCCAACCTTTGTCACAGTTGTTAATGAATCGGATGCAGCTGAGAAGAAGTGAAACACTAAGTTGGTGAATTTAGTGGAAACCTGCCCATTTGTAACAAGCATGGTAACAAGCATTCCTTCTTACACTTTTGTAACTACAGACCACAATTACTACCAGTTACATGTTATTACACCAACTACGAGTTGTTACAGTTATCTACAATACTTGTTACAGTGTATTTAAAAATATAACTACACTGTAATAAGAACCCCTTAAAAGGAAGTGTTACCGAATTTAGAGAGAGCAGTCCTAACCTGCAGGAATGAGATGTCTTCAGCTCTCAGCTCCCCCACTAGGGCTCTGATTGTGTCTGAAAGTGATGATATCTCTCTGGTCATCTCCTCAATCTTCTCCTTCATCATCTGACTCTTCGGCCCCATAAAGGAGGAGATGAGAGCTGCAGACATCTCATTACTGCAGGTAAGGACTGTTATACAGTAAAATTGTTCAATACAGTGAGGGAAAAAAGTATTTGATCCCCTGCTGATTTTGTACGTTCGCCCACTGACAAAGACATGATCAGTCTATAATTTTAATGGTAGGTTTATTTGAACAGTGAGAGACAGAATAACAACAAAGAAATCCGGAAAAACGCATGTCAAAAATGTTATAAATTGATTTTCATTTTAATGAGGGAAATAAGTATTGGACCCCTCTGCAAAACATGACTTAGTACTTGGTGGCAAAACCCTTGTTGGCAATCACAGAGGTCAGACGTTTCTTGTAGTTGGCCACCAGGTTTGCACACATCTCAGGAGGGATTTTGTCCCACTCCTCTTTGCAGATCTTCTCCAAGTCATTAAGGTTTCGAGGCTGACGTTTGGCAAATCGAACCTTCAGCTCCCTCCACAGATTTTCTATGGGATTAAGGTCTGGAGACTGGCTAGGCCACTCCAGGACCTTAATGTGCTTCTTCAGCCACTCCTTTGTTGCCTTGGCTGTGGGTTTTGGGTCATTGTCATGCTGGAATACCCACCCACGACACATTTTCAATGCCCTGGCTGAGGGAAGGAGGTTCTCACCCAAGATTTGACGGTACATGGCGCCGTCCATCGTCCCTTTGATGCAGTGAAGTTGTCCTGTCCCCTTAGCAGAAAAACACCCCCAAAGCATAATGTTTCCACGTCCATGTTTGATGGTGGGGATGGTGTTCTTGGGGTCATAGGCAGCATTCCTCCTCCTCCAAACACGGTGAGTTGAGTTGATGCCAAAGAGCTCGATTTTGGTCTCATCTGACCACAACACTTTCACCCAGTTCTCCTCTGAATCATTCAGATATTCATTGGCAAACTTCAGACGGGCCTGTATACAGTGGGGAGAACAAGTATTTGATACACTGCTGATTTTGCAGGTTTTCCTACTTACAAAGCATGTAGAGGTCTGTAATTTTTTATCATAGGTACACTTCAACTGTGAGAGACGGAATCTAAAACAAAAATCCAGAAAATCACATTGTATGATTTTTAAGTAATTAATTTGCATTTTATTGCATGACATAAGTATTTGATCACCTACCAACCAGTAAGAATTCCGGCTCTCACAGACCTGTTAGTTTTTCTTTAAGAAGCCCTCCTGTTCTCCACTCATTACCTGTATTAACTGCACCTGTTTGAACTCGTTACCTGTATAAAAGACACCTGTCCACACACTCAATCAAACAGACTCCAACCTCTCCACAATGGCCAAGACCAGAGAGCTGCGTAAGGACATCAGGGATAAAATTGTAGACCTGCACAAGGCTGGGATGGGCTACAGGACAATAGGCAAGCAGTTTGGTGAGAAGGCAACAACTGTTGGCGCAATTATTAGAAAATGGAAGAAGTTCAAGATGACGGTCAATCACCCTCGGTCTGGGGCTCCATGCAAGACCTCACCTCATCAATGATCATGAGGAAGGTGAGGGATCAGCCCAGAAATACACGGCAGGACCTGGTCAATGACCTGAAGAGAGCTGGGACCACAGTCTCAAAGAAAACCATTAGTAACACACTACGCCGTCATGGATTAAAATCCTGCAGCGCACGCAAGGTCCCCCTGCTCAAGCCAGCGCATGTCCAGGCCCGTCTGAAGTTTGCCAATGACCATCTGGATGATCCAGGGGAGGAATGGGAGTCTGTCATGTGGTCTGATTTGACAGAAATAGAGCTTTTTGGTCTAAACTCCACTCGCCGTGTTTGGAGGAAGAAGAAGTATGAGTACAACCCCAAGAACACCATCCCAACCGTGAAGCATGGAGGTGGAAACTTCATTCTTTGGGGATGCTTTTCTGCAAAGGGGACAGGACGACTGCACCGTATTGAGGGGAGGATGGATGGGGCCATGTATCGCGAGATCTTGGCCAACAACCTCCTTCCCTCAGTAAGAGCATTGAAGATGGGTCGTGGCTGGGTCTTCCAGCATGACAACGACCCGAAACACACAGCCAGGGCAACTAAGGAGTGGCTCCGTAAGAAGCATCTCAAGGTCCTGGAGTGGCCTAGCCAGTCTCCAGACCTGAACCCAATAGAAAATCTTTGGAGGGAGCTGAAAGTCCGTATTGCCCAGCGACAGCCCCGAAACCTGAAGGATCTGGAGAAGGTCTGTATGGAGGAGTGGGCCAAAATCCCTGCTGCAGTGTGTGCAAACCTGGTCAAGACCTACAGGAAACGTATGATCTCTGTAATTGCAAACAAAGGTTTCTGTACCAAATATTAAGTTCTGCTTTTCTGATGTATCAAATAATTATGTCATGCAAAAAAATGCAAATTAATTACTTAAAAATCATACAATGTGATTTTCTGGATTTTTGTTTAAGATTCCGTCTCTCACAGTTGAAGTGTACCTATGATAAAAATTACAGACCTCTACATGCTTTGTAAGTAGGAAAACCTGCAAAATCGGCAGTGTATCAAATACTTGTTCTCCCCACTGTATGTGCTTTCTTGAGCAGGGGGACCTTGCGGGCGCTGCAGGATTTCAGTCCTTCACGGCGTAGTGTGTTACCAATTGTTTTCTTGGTGACTATGGTCCCAGCTGCCTTGAGATCATTGACAAGATCCTCCGTGTAGTTGTGGTCTGATTCCTCACCGTTCTCATGATCATTGCAACTCCACGAGGTGAGATCTTGCATGGAGCCCCAGGCCGAGGGAGATTGACAGTTCTTTTGTGTTTCTTCCATTTGCGAATAATCGCACCAACTGTTGTCACCTTCTCACCAAGCTGCTTGGCGATGGTCTTGTAGCCCAGTCCAGCCTTGTGTAGGTCTACAATCTTGTCCCTGACATCCTTGGAGAGCTCTTTGGTCTTGGCCAAGGTGGAAAGTTTGGAATCTGATTGATTGATTGCTTCTGTGGACAGGTGTCTTTTATACAGGCAACAAGCTGAGATTAGGAGCACTCCCTTTAAGAGTGTGCTCCTAATCTCAGCTCGTTACCTGTATAAAAGACACCTGGGAGCCAGAAATCTTTCTGATTGAAAGGGAGTCAAATACTTATTTCCCTCATTAAAATGAAAATCAATTTATAACATTTTTGACATGCGTTTTTCTGGATTTTTTTGTTGTTATTCTGTCTCTCACTGTTCAAATAAACCTACCATTAAAATTATAGACTGATCATTTCTTTGTCAGTGGGCAAACGTACAAAATCAGCAGGGGATCAAATACTTTTTCCCTCACTGTATATGTTTGAGTTTCTTGAATGTTAATAAAACATATTTGTTGATTAATGTGACATTACAGTATTATTTACAATCCTAGTTAGTTGCTATGATGATATCTCTCTGCTCATCTCCTCAATCTTCTCCTTCATCATCTGACCCTTCTGCTCCTCTTCCTCCCTCAGAACAGCTATCCTGGCCTCCTCTTCCTCCCTCAGTGCAGATATCCTGGCCTCCTCTTCCTCCCTCAGTGCAGCTATCCTGGCCTCCTCTTCCTCCCTCAGTGCAGATATCTTGGCCTCCTCTTCCTCCCTCAGAACAGCTATCCCGGCCTCCTCTTCCTCCCTCAGTGCAGCTTTCCTGGCCTCCTCTTCCTCCCTCAGTGCAGCTTTCCTGGCCTCTTCCGATTCTAAATAGAAACTGGTGGAGCTTCTCAAACTCCTCCTTAATCAGCCTCTGTGTGCTGGGCCTGGCTCTAGAGCCAGTGTGAGGAATGGTGATACTAAATCATTTAAACTGGTCCTGAATTATATGATCTGCATAGCAAAAACAAATATTGCTGTTGGGTCACAGGTTTGTTTAACTTCATTGAAGACCTCAAGCTTCTCCTGCAAGGGTTTCAGGAAAATCTGGAGATCGTCCTCAAATGAGAGGATGATTCATTGAAGAAACAGTCTCTATATAGTGGATTTATAAACAGCTTGTCACGGATCCCCCCGGTACTGCTGCTCATTCCGTTCACCAGCTCCGGAGGTATACGTCACCGGTCTTCTAGGCGTCACTGACCTGGATCATTACCACCAACCCCGGACTGTCTTGTCTCATTACGCACACCTGGTTCCCATTTCCCCTGATTAGTATGTGTATATACAGTGGGGAAAAAAAGTATTTAGCCAGCCAACAATTGTGCAAGTTCTCCCACTTAAAAAGATGAGAGAGGCCTGTAATTTTCATCATAGGTACACGTCAACTATGACAGACAAATTGACATTTCTTTTCTCCAGAAAATCACATTGTAGGATTTTTAATGAATTTATTTGCAAATTATGGTGGAAAATAAGTATTTGGTCACCTACAAACAAGCAAGATTTCTGGCTCTCACAGATCTGTAACTTCTTCTTTAAGAGGCTCCCCTGTCCTCCACTCGTTACCTGTATTAATGGCACCTGTTTGAACTTGTTATCAGTATAAAAGACACCTGTCCACAACCTCAAACAGTCACACTCCAAACTCCACTATGGCCAAGACCAAAGAGCTGTCAAAGGAACCAGAAACAAAATTGTAGACCTGCGCCAGGCTGGGAAGACTGAATCTGCAATAGGTAAACAGCTTGGTTTGAAGAAATCAACTGTGGGAGCAATTATTATGAAATGGAAGACATACAAGACCACTGATAATCTCCCTCGATCTGGGGCTCCACGCAAGATCTCACCCCGTGGGGTCAAAATGATCACAAGAACGGTGAGCAAAAATCCCAGAACCACACGGGGGGACCTAGTGAATGACCTGCAGAGAGCTGGGACCAAAGTAACAAAGCCTACCATCAGTAACACACTACGCCGCCAGGGACTCAAATCCTGCAGTGCCAGATGTGTCCCCCTGCTTAAGCCAGTACATGTCCAGGCCCATCTGAAGTTTGCTAGAGTGCATTTGGATGATCCAGAAGAGGATTGGGAGAATGTCATATGGTCAGATGAAACCAAAATAGAACTTTTTGGTAAAAACTCAACTTGTCGTGTTTGGAGGACAAAGAATGCTGAGTTGCATCCAAAGAACACCATACCTACTGTGAAGCATGGGGGTGGAAACATCATGCTTTGGGGCTGTTTTTCTGCAAAGGGACCAGGACGACTGATCCGTGTAAAGGAAAGAATGAATGGGGCCATGTATCGTGAGATTTTGAGTGAAAACCTCCTTCCATCAGCAAGGGCATTGAAGATGAAACGTGGCTGGGTCTTTCAGCATGACAATGATCCCAAACACACCGCCCGGGCAACGAAGGAGTGGCTTCGTAAGAAGCATTTCAAGGTCCTGGAGTGGCCTAGCCAGTCTCCAGATCTCAACCCCATAGAAAATCTTTGGAGTGAGTTGAAAGTCCGTGTTGCCCAGCGACAGCCCCAAAACATCACTGCTCTAGAGGAGATCTGCATGGAGGAATGGGCAAAAATACCAGCAACAGTGTGTGAAAACCTTGTGAAGACTTACAGAAAACGTTTGAGCTGTGTCATTGCCAACAAAGGGTATATAACAAAGTATTGAGAAACTTTTGTTATTGACCAAATACTTATTTTCCACCATAATTTGCAAATACATTCATTAAAAATCCTACAATGTGATTTTTTGGATTTTTTTTTCTCATTTTGTCTGTCATAGTTTACGTGTACCTATGATGAAAATTACAGGCCTCTCTCATCTTTTTAAGTGGGAGAACTTGCACAATTGTTGGCTGACTCAATTTTTTTTCCCCCACTACAGTTGAAGTCGGAGGTTTACATACACTTAGGTTGGAGTCATTAAAACTTGTTTTTCAACCACTCCACACATTTCTTGTTAACAAACTATAGTTTTGGCAAGTTGGTTAGGACATCTACTTTGTGGATGACACAAGTAATTTTTCCAACAATTGTTTACAGACAGATTATTTCACTTATAATTCACTGTATCACAATTCCAGTGGGTCAGAAGTTTACATACACTAAGTTGACTGTGCCTTTAAACAGCTTGGAAAATTCCAATGATGTCATGGCTTTAGAAGCTTCTGATAGGCTAATTGACATCATTTGAGTCAATTGGAGGTGTACCTGTGGATGTATTTCAAGGCCTACCTTCAAACTCAGTACCTCTTTGCTTGACATCATGGGAAAATCAAAATAAATCAGCAAAGACCTCAGAAAAACAATTGTAGACCTCCACAAGTCTGGTTCATCCTTGGGAGCAATTTCCAAACGCCTGAAGGTACCACGTTCATCTGTACAAACAATAGTATGCAAGTATAAACACCATGGGACCACACAGCCGTCATACCGCTCAGGAAGGAGATGTGTCTGTTTGGAGGAAAAAGGTGGTAGCTTGCAAGCAGAAGAACACCATCCCAACCGTGAAGCACAGGGGTGGCAGCATCATGCTGTGGGAGTGCTCTGCTGCAGGAGCGACTGGTGCACTTCACAAAATAGATGGCATCATGAGGAAGGAAAATTATGTGGATATATTGAAGCAACATCTCAAGACATCAGTCAGGAAGTTAAAGCTTGGTCGCAAATGGGTCTTCCAAATGGACAATGACCCCAAGCATACTTCCAAAGTTGTGGCAAAATGGCTTAAGGACAACAAAGTCAAGGTATTGGAGTGGCCATCACAAAGCCCTGACCTCAATCCTATAGAACATTTGAGGGCAGAACTGAAAAAGCGTTTGTGAGCAAGGAGGCCTACAAACCTGACTCAGTTAGACCAGCTCTGTCAGGAAGAATGGGCCAAAATTCACTCAACTTATTGTGGGAAGCTTGTGGAAGGCTACCCGAAACGTTTGACCCAAGTTAAACAATTTAAAGGCAATGCTACCAAATACTAATTGAGTGTATGTAAACTTCTGACCCATTGGGAATGTGATTAAATAAAAGCTGAAATAAATCATTCTCTCTACTATTATTCTGACATTTCACATTCTTAAAATAAAGTGGTGATCATAACTGACCTAAGACAGGGATTTTTTTACTAGCATTAAATGTCAGGATCTGTGAAAAACTGAGTTTAAATGTATTTGGCTAAGGTGTATGTAAACTTCAGACTTCAACTGTATGTGCCCTCTGTTCCCCATTGTCGATTATTGTCCCATGTCCGTTGGTCTCGTGAGTACCATGTATTGTGCTCTTGTTGTTACGGGTCTTGTCCCGTGTATTGTTTAGAGGTTACACCTCACTCTTTTTTTTGGGTTACATCCCTGTGTTATATATATAAGTGTTTGTTTTGGGCTTCGTCCCGTCGGTTTTTCATGACGTACATTGTGTTGGATGGAGACATAAAAAACCCTAATACGTATTTATGTGCCTGTCTTCTAATCATTATACAACATGACAGAATAATCAACCCAGTAAAATGGAGACAGCGGGAAAGGCCGAGCTGACGACCATCGTAGAGACAGTCCAGCATCACGAGGACTGTCTCTCCGGACTCAGCAGCGCCATGGACAGCATGCTGGCAACCATCCTGTGTTTGGAGAGGAATGTGCAGTCCCTCCATTCTCCAGCACCGGTTCTGGCACCAGCTCCCACACCACCACTACCTGCCTCCGTCGTCCCATTTGAGCCGGTCCGCGGAATACCCCTGTCCCTCCCGGAGCGCTTCGATGGCGTGCCAGCGAGATGCAAGGGATTCCTTCTGCAATGCGACCTGTACATCGCTCGCTATGCCGAGGCTGTCTCCGGGAGAGACAGGGTTGCCACAGTCATCTCGGCACTGACCGGAAGGGCCCTGGACTGGGGTGCCGCAGTCTGGGAAACGGGCGGACCCGAGGTCGAGTCCTACGAGTGCTTCACCCTCCTCTTCCGCTCGGTGTTTGATCATCCTGTGGAGGGCCGAGAGGAGGGTGAGCGCCTACTCCGACTATGCCAGGGATCTAGGACCGCCCTGGAGTTCCGGACCATCGCGGCCTCCACCGGATGGAACGAGTCGGCTCTGTTCACCGTTTTCCGCAGCGGACTGCAGGAGGAGGTACAGAGGGAGTTAGCCTTCCGTGATGACAACCTGTCACTCGACCAGCTCATCAGCATGGCGATCCGGTTGGACAAACTCCTGCGGTCCCGACGAAGACCTGCGCTGAATCCGGTTAGTTAGGGGAAGCATCCTTCAAGGGTTTTATCTTGCAAACTGGACAGTCCTGCAGCCAGCTTCTCATTTTTCACCTCTCTCTATATCCCTCTATCCCCCTCTTTTTCTCTACCACCCTCTCTCTCTCCCCCAAAAATGTTGTCTCTCACAAACACGCATCCCCAACATGTCCCATCACCCCACCCCCCCCCCCAGATGAATACACTGTAGCCTTGATGCAAACACTGTCTTTATTGAACTGTACAGAGCTGAAAGCAGGACTGAGATGACTGACAGTAGCCTGGTGGCTAGATGTGGCATGACAACAAACAGAGGGCTTGGCTAAACCCAGGAACAGACATGTTTATTGGTAATGTGCTGACAGCCTTGTCTTGGTGCTTTTCATTTCCATCTTCCTGTGTGTGTGTGCTTAGTGTGGAACCTTCTAAGACGACATTCAAACATTTCACAACAAACCACGGTGGCCATTTTATAAAACTTTAGAGAAAAGAAGTATAGAAAAATTAACCATAACAACAAGCAACAAAAATGGTAGTCATGACATCACATTGTAACCGGGCAACACCAGTATGAAGTAAACATTTGTAAAGCCTGATAGACACGATAAATACATTTGAATATAAACAACATGACATGTTTAAAAAAAGAAAGAAAGGAAATGAGTTGCGATGACATGGGTCTGGCTCTAACATCTTGGTGTTGTGTAGCTGTGTTGTGTTGCCAAGAGGAAAGCTAAAAGGCAGACTCCTGAAGGCACAGTGGGTTAAACCATTCAACACTGTAGATCCAAGCCTCGACCCTTCACCCCAAAGACTTGTCCTATGGAACATAGGCTACACCCCCCGTATGCCACCGACCCCGTCTACACACTCAAACACAGCACTCTCAACATAAGCCAAGATGTCTAGCTTTCTCTCATGCTCATTGGGTCTAATGAGACAAACTCTCAGCATTATCATGATCGATCAATCGATCGATCAAACAATCAATCTTGGGAAACAAACATGAGAACATACACTGAGTGTACCAAACATTGTGAACACCTGCTCTTTCCATGACATAGACTGATCAGGTGAATCCAGGTGAAAGCTATGATCCCTTATTCATGTTAAATTCACTTCAATCAGTGTAGATGAAGGGGAGGAGACAGGTTAAATAATGTTTTTTAAGCCTTGAGACAATTAAGACATGGATTGTGTGTGTGCCATTCAGAGGGTGAATGGGCAAGACAAAATATTTAAGTGCCTTTGAACAGGGTATGGTAGTAGGTGCCATGCACACCGGTTTGAGTGTGTCAAGAACTGCAATGCTGCTGGGTTTTTCACGCTCAACAGTTTCCTGTGTGTATCAAGAATGGTCCACCACCCAAAGGACTTCCAGCCAACTTGACACAACTGTGGGAAGCATTGGAGTCAACATGGGTTAGCATCCCTTTGGAATGCTTTCGACACCTTGTAGAGTCCATGCCCCAATGAATTGAGGCTGTTCTGAGGGCAAAAGGGAGTGCAACTCAATATTAGGGAGGTGTTCCTAATGTTTTTCTCTCTCAGTGTAAAACAAGTGTTTGGAAACAGAAAACACGCTGAAAGTTCAAGAGTTCACTCGTTCTCAGAGGAAGGACAGAAAGCAAACTGCCATGCAGTGTGTAGCTATGGTTCTGCTATGTTTTCCCATCATGCTTTGAGACATTCCTCTCCAACCATCGATGAGAAGGTATTCTCGTGGATACAATCTAATGTCATAATTAAATTAAACCTCTCATATGTGGATATGTGCTATGCTTAGAAATATTATCTGAAATGACTTGTCAATGTATAGTACCAATGTCTCTGAATAAACATATATTAAAAAAGAAATAAAATATATTTATAAATAACACGTATTTACAGCTGGACTTTTGGCATCCATGTTTCTCTGGTAACACCTTATGGATTGGTTTGAGAAATAATGTTGGAGTGGATATGGATCATGGACATGTAAGCATGACCAACAGAAATGCCAAAACAGATGATTTGGCATAATCTTTCAAACAAACAAGTCTTTGCTAGCATATGATCAATTATTATTATTATACAGAGGTCAAATACATAGGTCAAATACTTGAGCTGTGCTTGATTTAGTTTGCCTGGTACAATGGGAACAATAGAATAGTCCTAACGGTGCAAACTCCAAACTAAATCAAGTGCACTTCTAAAAACCTAAAGTATTTGAATGTATTTGATCCAGATCTGCTGTTATATAACTATTCTGTATTCAAAGGACTCTTGGAAATGCCTGAACACAATACAAAGAAAGACTATGTACAGATTTAGTCTCTCAACTCTCAACGCAACCTTCCAATAGACTGTCTCGTCTTTCTTCTGCAGTTATGAAAAGAAATCTGATTTCTGTACACATCCTTTCACCCACTCCAATCCCTCCACCATCCAGTAGGGACACAACGTTTCCATCCATCTCTCCTGTGCTTGGTCAACAGACGAACATCCAACTCTCCACTTCTCATCTGTCTTTCAATTGGCAGTTAGATGAACCACTCTTTCTTTGATTCATCAATGGTTTCCGGGTTGGTTTCGGCGCAGATGATGGTGGTGTCAGCTGATTCTCCACTGGCTGGCTCCGCCCCTTTCGACTCATTGGTGTGGTAGGAGCCCTTGTGACGGAACATGTAGCGAATCAGGAACACCAGCGTGCACAGGATAGTGAAAATCACCACGGCAATGATACCTGAGGGCAGAGACGAAGAAGTAGATTTAGAAATAATGGATATTGATAGATATTGATAGAATGGAAATGGATAGATATTGATAGAATGGATATTGATAGAATGGAAATTGATAGATATTGATAGAATGGATATTGATAGAATGGATATTGATAGATATTGATAGAATGGAAATCGATAGATATTGATAGAATGGATATTGATAGAATGGATATTGATAGATATTGATAGAATGGATATTGATAGATATTGATAGAATGGATAGTGATAGAATGGATATTGATAGAATGGATATTGACAGAATGGATATAGATAGATATTGATGGAATGGATATTGATAGAATGGATATTGATAGATATTGATAGAATGGATATTGATAGATATTGACAGAATGATATTGATTGAATGGATATTGATAGAATGGATATTGACAGAATGGATATTGATAGATATTGATGGAATGGATATTGATAGATATTGATAAAATGGATATTGATAGAATAGATATTGATAGATATTGATAGAATGGATATTGACAGATAATGATAGAATGTTTTTGACAGATATTCATAGAATGATATTGATAGATATTGATATAATGGATATTGACAGATATTGATAGAATAGATATTGAGATATTGATAGAATGGATATTTATAGATATTGATAGAATATATATTGATAGAATGATATTGAAAGAACAGATATTGATCGATATTAATAGAATGGATATTGATAGAATGGATATTGATATATTTTAATAGAATGGATATTGATAGATATTGATAGAATGGATATTGATAGATTTTGACAGAATGAATATAGATAGATATTGATATAATTAATATTGATAGAATGGATCTTGATAGATATTGATAGAATGGATATTGACAAAATTGATATTGATAGATATTAATAAAATTGATATTGATAGATATTGATCGAATGGATATTGATAGAATTGATATTGATAGATATTGACAGAATGGATATTGACAGATTCTGATAGAATGGATATTGATAGATATGGTTAAAATAGATATTGATAGAATGGATATTGATAGTATGTATATTGATAGAATGGATATTGATAGAATGGATATTGATAGATATTGATAGAATGGATATTGATAGATATTGATAGAATGATATTGGTAGAATGGATATTGATAGATATTGATAGAATGGATATTGAAAGATATTGATAGAATGGATATTGACATATAATGATAGAATGTTTTTGATAGATATTCATATAATGATATTGATAGATATTTATATTGATAGAATGGATAGTGATAGATATTGAAATAATGGATATTGATAGATATTGATAGAATATATATGGATAGATATTGATAAAATGGATATTGATAGAATAGATATTGATAGATATTAATAGAATGGATATTGATATATATTGAGAATGGATATCGATAGATATTGATAAAATTGATATTGATAGATTTTGAAAGAAGGAATATTGATAGATATTGATATAATGGATATTGATAGATATTGACAGAATGACATTGATAGAAGGATATTGATAGATATTGATAGAAAGGATATTGATATAATCAATTGATAGATTTGATTAAAATGATATTGATAGATATTGAAATTAATATTGATAGATGGATTGATAGATATTGATAGAAGGAATTGAGAGATTGGAGATAGGAATGATATAATAATGATAGATGGATATATAGATATTGACAGATAATGATAGATGAAGATGATATTTAAAATATATTGAAGAATGGATATTGATAGAATGAAGAATGATATTGGTAGAAATGGGTTTTTGATAGATATTAAGAATGGATTGAAAAAATATTGAAGAATGGGTAGAAGAATTTGGAAGAAAAATTTGATTGAATGGGTTATAAAATTGATGAATGGATATGATAGATATTTAAGAATATATTTTAGAATGGGAATTTTAGATATTGATAAATTAAAGATGAATGGGGTTGAAGATATTTAGGGAAGGATTTGTAGAATTTAATATTAATTTTATAGAATTGGGTGAAGGGGAAAAGATGATATTTAAAAAAAATGGAATTTATAGAAGGGATATTGATAATTTTTTAAAGAAGGATAAAAGTATTATAATTTTAAGGGAATTGGGGTAAAGATAAATTTTTTTAAAAAAATTTTTTGAAGATTTGATAGAATGTTTGAAGAAAATTTTGGGAAAATTTTTGATTGAAGGGTATTGATAGAATGGATTGAAAATAGTATTTTTAAAATATTAAAAGAATGGATTGATAGGGGAAGGGTATTGATAGATATTTTAAAAGGTATTTTATATTAAATAAATATTGATAGATATTGATAGAAAAGAATATTAAAAATAATTGATAGATATTTAAGAAGGGGTATTTAAAAATGGGGATGATATTGTAGATAAAATGATTAAAAGAATTGATAAAATATTTATTTGAAAGGATATTGATAGATATTAAGAATGGATTTATAAAGGGGTTTGAAGGTTTGATAGAAGGATATTGGGAAATGATAGAAAATTTTGTAAATGAAATTGAAGTATTGATAGAAGGGTTGTAGAAAGATTGAAAAAGATATTGTGAATGGGAATTGTAAGGATTTTTGATGATTTTTGATAGAAGGATATTGATAGAAGGATATTAATAGAATTTATATGATAGATATTTATAGATGGTATTTTAGAAGGATTGTAGATATTTATTAAAGGATTTGATAGATGGAATTCATAGAAGGTATTGTAGTATTTTAGAAAGGATATTGGTAGGACGGGCGAATGGTATTTAAAAGAAGGATATGAGATATTGATAGAATGAATTTGGTTTGAAAAGGAATTTATGAAGAAGGGGGATATTTATATAAAGGATTGATAGAATTTTAGAATGATGTTTTTGAGAATTTTTTAACAAAACTATTTCAGTGTCTCTGTGCGTCTCCCCAAAAGGTTTGTAATGCTTTTGGATAAAGAAACGGACAGAGTCCCGGTCTGCATAGTCAGAGATGTTTATTCATTGAGAATTCTGCCACAAAATGGTCGTACAATATTTTTATACGCACACGTCATACGAAAATACCACCCCTCTGTAGGTGGGCTGTAGTTTCCACTTGTAAAACTGCTCTCCTGACCATCAGTTCACCACACACACACACACCACACACACACATACACCACATACATACAACACAATACACACACATTTTCTTTTCATAGTCTCTCTCTCCCTAAATTGGGAGGCCTTTTATCTTGTTTCTCAGTTGCTGTAGACAGTTCTACCTTGTCCTTTGTTGTCTGGCCTAACTCGCTTACTCACATTGCTAAAATGTAGCACAATGTTCATAATCTTTATGGTCCTACACTCACACATTACCAGGTAGTAGATTCTAACACATCTCACCACAGTTTCGGAGTGTAATTAATTGTCACTACTAGAAAGTACTAATCATACTTAAAACAAGAACATATATTTAAGGGTGGTGGAACATTTAGTCATACTTTTAACTTGTATATATTTAATTTTTATTAAAATATTGATAGAATGGAGATGAAATTTTTATGATATAATTTTGATGGATAGATGAATGGTAGTGGCCATGGTCCAAGGCCTGCATTGCGGGGGGGAAGAGACCCCGGGGCGAAACATTGCAAGGGCCCCCGGGGGAGCCCCGGGGGGGGCCAAAAAGGGGCCGCCAGGGGGGGGGGGGAAGGGGCGGGAGTATTTTGAGCATCTTTTAACGCGGGGGGGGGGTCGTTCAGGGGGCCGATAAAAAAAAAAGGTAGACTAATGTAAAGGGCTGGGTAAAAATTGCTAAAAGAGAAGGAAGAAGAAATGGATATTTATATTATTTTTAGAAATTGAATTGATAGAAAGGATTTATTTGAAGAATGGATTTTGATAGAATTGATGAATGGAATTATAGAATGGATTTTGAAGAATTTTTGAATGAATGATAAAAATATGAAGAATGTTTTGGGGTTTAATAAAATGGATTTTATGATAGAAAGGAATTGATAGATATTTGATAGAATGGATATTGATAGCATTAATTGATAGATATGATAGAATGGGATATTGAAGGAGTATTGATAAAATGGATATGGATAGAATAGATATTGATAGATATTGATAGAATGGATATTGGACAGATAATGATAGAATTGTTTTGACAGATATTCATAGAATGATATTGATAGATATTGATATAATGGTATTGACAGATATTGATAGAATAGATATGAGATATTGATAGAAGGATATTTATAGATATGATAGAAATATATTGATAGAATGATATTGAAAGAACAGATATTGATCGATATTAATAGAATGGATATTGATAGAATGGATATGATATATTTTAATAGAATGGATATTGATAGATATTTGAGTAGAATGGATATGATAGATTTTGACAGAATGAATATAGATAGATATTGATATAATTAATATTGATAGAATGGATCTGATAGATATTGATAGAATGGATATTGACAAAATTGATATTGATAGATATTTAATAAAATTGTATTGATAGATATTGATCGAATGGATATGATTGAATTGATATGATAGATATTGACAGAATGGATATTGACAGATTCTGATAGAATGGATATTGATAGATATGGTTAAAATAGATATTGATAGAATGGATATTGATAGTATGTATATTGATAGAATGGATATTGATAGAAATGGATATTGATAGATATTGATAGAATGGATATTGATAGATATTGATAGAATGATATTGGTAGAATGGATATTGATAGATATTGATAGAATGGATATTGAAAGATATTGATAGAATGGATATTGACATATAATGATAGAATGTTTTTGATAGATATTCATATAATGATATTGATAGATATTTATATTGATAGAATGGATAGTGATTAGATATTGAAATAATGGATATTGAAGATATGATAGAATATATATGGATAGATATTGATTAAAATGGATATTGATAGAATAGATATTGATAGATATTAATAGAATGGATATTGATATATATTGAGAATGGATATCGATAGATATTGATAAAATTGATATTGATAGATTTTGAAAGAAGGAATATTGATAGATATTGATATAATGGATATTGATAGATATTGACAGAATGACATTGATAGAATGGATATTGATAGATATTGATAGAAAGGATATTGATATAATCAATATTGATAGATATTGATAAAATGAATATTGATAGATATTGATATAATTAATATTGATAGAATGGATATTGATAGATATTGATAGAATGGATATTGAGAGATATTGAGAGAATGGATATTGATATAATTAATATTGATAGAATGGATATTGATAGATATTGACAGAATGATATTGATAGAATGGATATTGATAGATATTGACAGAATGGATATTGAGAGAATGGATATTGATAGATATTGATAGAATGATATTGGTAGAATGGATATTGATAGATATTGATAGAATGGATATTGATATAATTAATATTGATAGAATGGATATTGATAGATATTGACAGAATTATATTGATAGAATGGATATTGATAGATATTGATAGAATGGATATAGATAGATATTGATAGAATGATATTGATAGAATGGATATTGGTAGATATTGATATAATTAATATTGATAGAATGGATATTGATAGATATTGAGAGAATGGATATTGATAGATATTGAAATAGTTAATATTGATAGATATTGATAGAATGGAAATTGATAGATATTAACAGAATGGACATTGATAGAATGGATATTGATAGATTTTAATAGAATGGATATTGATATATATTGATAGAATGGATATTGACAGATAATGATAGAATGTTTTTGAAAGATATTCATAGAATGATATTGATAGATATTGATATTGATAGAATGGATAGTGATATATATTGATATTGACAGATATTGATAGAATGGATATTGATAGAATAGATATTGATAGATATTAATAGAATGGATATTGATATATATTGTGAATGGATATTGATAGATATTGATAAAATGGATATTGATAGATATTTAAATAATTAATATTGATAGATATTGATAGAATGAATATTGATAGAATGGATATTGATAGATATTGATAGAATGGATATTGATAGAATGGATATTGATATAATGATATTGATAGATATTGATATAATGATATTGATAGATATTGATAGAATGGATATTGATAGATATTGATAGAATGGATGTTGATAGAATGGATATTGAGAGATATTGATAGAATGGATATTGATAGAATGATATTGATAGATATTGATATAATGAAATTGACAGATATTGATAGAATGGATATTGATAGATATTGATAGAATAGATATTGCTAGAATGGATATTGATATAATGGATATTGATAGATATTGATAGAATGGATATTGATAGAATGGATATTAATAGAATTGATATTGATAGATATTGATAGAATGGATATTGATAGAATGGATATTGATAGATATTGATATAATGGATATTGATAGTATGGATATTCATAGAATGGATATTGATAGATATTGATAGAATGGATATTGGTAGACACGGACAGAATGGATATTAACAGAATGGATATTGATGATATTGATAGAATGATATTGGTAGAATGGATATTGATAGATATTGAAGGAATGGATATTGATATAACGGATATTGATAGATATTGATAGAATGATGTTATGAGAATTATTTAACAAACTATTTCAGTGTCTCTGTGCGTCTCCCAAAAGGTTGTAATGCTTTTGGATAAAGAAACGGACAGAGTCCCGGTCTGCATAGTCAGAGATGTTTATTCATTGAGAATTCTGCCACAAAATGGTCGTACAATATTTTTATACGCACACGTCATACGAAAATACCACCCCTCTGTAGGTGGGCTGTAGTCTTCCACTTTAAAACTGCTCTCCTGACCATCAGTTCACACACACACACACACACACACACACATACACACATACATACACACACATACACACACATTTTCTTTTCATAGTCTCTCTCCTCCCTAAATTGGGAGGCCTCTTTATCTTGGTTTCTCAGTTGCCTGTAGACAGTTCTCCTTGTCCTTTGTTGTCTGGCCTAACTCTTACTCACATTGCTAAAATGTAGCACAATGTCATAATCTTTACTGGTCCTACACTCACACATTACCAGGTAGTAGATTCTAACACATCTCACACAGTTTCGGAGTGTAATAATTAGTCACTACTAAGAAAGTACTAATCATACTTAAAACAAGAACATATATTTAAGGGTGGAACATTTAGTCATTACTTTTAACCTGTATATATTTTAATTTCTATATCAAATGGATATTGATAGAATGGATATTGATAGAATTGATATTGATATATATTGATAGAATGGATATTGATAGAATGGATATTGTGGCGCAGTGGTCTAAGGCACTGCATTGCAGTGCTAGCTGTGCCACTAGAGATCCTGGTTCGAATCCAGGCTCTGTCATAGCCGGCCGCGACCGGGAGACCCATGGGGCGGCGCACAATTGGCCCAGCGCCGTCCAGGGCAGGGGAGGGAATGGCCGGCAGGGATGTAGCTCGGTTGGTAGAGCATGGCGTTTGCAACGCCAGGGTTGTGGGTTCGATTTCCACGGGGGGCCAGTATAAAAAAATAATGTATGCACTAACTGTAAGTCGCTCTGGATAAGAGCGTCTGCTAAATGTTAGAATGGATATTGAGAGAATGGATATTGATATCTATTGATAGAATTGACATTGATAGAATGGATATTGAGAGATATTGATAGAATGATATTGATATAATGGATATTGATAGATATAGATATTTATAGAATTGATATTGATAGATATTGATAAAATGAATATTGATAGAATGGATATTGCTAGATATTGATAGAATGATATTGATAGAATGGATATTGATAGATATTGATTGAATAGATATTGATAGAATGGATATTGATAGAATGGATATTGAGAGATATTGATAGAATGGATATTGATAGAATGGATATTAATATAATTGATATTGATAGATATTGATAGAATGGATATTGATAGAATGGATATTCATAGTATGGATATTCATAGAATGGATATTGATAGATATTGATTGAATAGATATTGATATAATATAATATGCCATTTAGCAGACACTTTTATCCAAAGCGACTTACAGTCATGTGTGCATACATTTTTACGTATGGATGGTCACAGGGATCGAACCCACTACCCTGGCGTTACAAGCACCATGCTCTACCAATTGAGCTACAGAGGACCACAATAGTATGGATATTCATAGAATGGATATTGATAGATATTGATAGAATGGATATTGATAGATATTGATAGAATGATATTGTTAGAATGGATATTGATAGATATTGATAGAATGGATATTGAAAGATATTGATAGAATGGATATTGATAGAATGGATATTGATAGATATTGATAGAATGGATATTGATATATATTGATATAATGGATATTGATAGAATGGATATTGAGAAATTGATGGAATAGATGTTGATAATGATATTAATAGAATGATATTGATAGATATTGATTAAATTGATATTGATATAATGGAAATTGATATAATGGATATTGAAAGATATTGATAGAATGGATATTGTTAGAATGGATATTGATAGAATGGATATTGAGAGATATTGATAGAATGTTGTTGATAATGATATTGATAGATATTGATATAATGATATTGATAGATATTGATCAAATTGATATTGATATAATGGATATTGATATATTGATAGAATGGATATTGATAGATATTGATAGAATGGATATTTATAGAATGGATATTGATAGAATGGATATTGATAGATATTGATAGAATGGATATTGATAGAATGGATATTGATAGATATTAATAGAATGGATATTGATAGATATTGATAGAATGGATATTGATAGAATGTATATTGATAGATATTGATAGAATGGATATTGATAGATATTAATAGAATGGATATTGATAGAATGGATATTGATAGATATTAATAGAATGGATATTGATAGATATTGATAGAATGGATATTGATAGATATTAATAGAATGGATATTGATAGATATTGATAGAATGGATATTGATAGAATGTATATTGATATATATTGATAGAATAGATATTAATATAATGGATATTGATAGATATTAATAGAATGGATATTGATAGAATGGATATGGATAGATATTGATATAATGGATATTGATAGATATTGATAGAATGAATATTGATAGATATTAATAGAATGGATATTGATAGATATTGATAGAATGGATATTGATAGATATTGATAGATATTAATAGAATGGATATTGATAGAATGGATATTGATAGATATTGATAGAATGGATATTGATAGACAGTTAAAGTTGGAGCAGAATGTTACTGAATCAAATACATAATTTGTTGACATCATGTAGGCCCATGGGAAACACATTTGGAGACAACTGAATTCCAATAGATCAACATCAAGATGACATCTGGACCTGGCAGAGGGTCATGTCTCTGTCGTACATGTTAGTTTAAGATAAGATCCATCTGAATACAGGCCTTACTGCACGTACCTCCTATAATGGCTGAGTTCCTGTTGACTCCATCTGGGATCACTCTCTCCTCGTTGAATGGGAACTCTGCACCTGGAGACACAGATATCACATCAGCTAGACAGCTATACTCACCTAGCTATCTTAAGATGAATGCAGTAACTGTAAGTCGCACTGGATAAGAGGGTATGCTAAATGAATAAAATGTAAATGTAATACACCCACACACAACGCACGCACACGTGCACACACACCAGGCACATGTACACACGCACGCACGCACGCGCACACACACACACACCACTGCCTTCCATTGAACTGTAAACACACTACAGAGCAATGAATCAAAAACACCAGGCCAAGCTGTCCAGTCTCCCACTAATAGGCTTTTATCCCTCTTGATGGACAGATCTGTCAGGTAGACAAGTGGAGAGAGCGAGAGGGAGAGAAGAGAGTGGGTGGATGAGAGATTGTTATGACAGACAGACTGGCAGTAAGCTAATGAGAGAGAGAGAGACGACATGGAGAGTGTTATGATGGGTGTGTAGTAAGCTAATGAGAGAGAGAGAGAAGAAATAGATAGACTGACATATTTGCTCTGTCAGCTGACTGTGCGTTTTGCTTGTGGCTCCTGGATCAATAGATGTTATTGACCAGAGACAGAGACAACCATCCCACTGGAGCACAAGGAAGACTGCAGCATCCCCAATATGAGAATGTGTGTGTGGTGTGTGTACCTGCTTTTCCTGCAGAAATGTTTGTGTGTGTGTGTGTGTGTGTGTGTATCGTACCTGAGTCCAGGCGCCAAGGATCGGTGACAGCAGACATTGGTGGGATGGTGAGAGGTGATGCTCCACAGTTAGATTCTACCAGTTTACCCTGGTACGACACTGGCACAGTCTGTCTGTCTGTCGGTCTGTCTGGCTGTCTGTCTGTCGGTCTGTCTGCTACAGGGTTTCTTAGGGCAGTCTTCAGGGGTGCGACTCCGTTGAACTGGACACGTGACAGACAGCCTACGAACCCTGGAGTGTTATAACGCTCTATAAGCACTGGGTCTATCACTCCGGTCTCTGAGGAGAGAGAGAGAGAGAGAGAAAGAGAGAGAGTGAGGAAGAGGAAGAGGTGAGGGGGCAGATAGAGAGAGGTTTGAGTTGTAACAATATTTTATTATACAATACTTCAAGGCAGCACACAGCCTTAATAGTCAAAAAAAGCAAAAAAACTGAAGGCACTGAAAATGAGGAGAGGAAGGAAATATACATAATCAGCCTAAATCATATTTCCAGGAAACCAACTGCAGCAGAGTGAGCCACTGACCACAGCACTCTCCTCCCACCAGCTATCAGACACCCGCATCAGCAGATTTATCATTAAGACATCATCACCATGAGATACTACACACACACAAGCAGTTTTTTTTATTAGTCCAATTGACTATTCTTCCCTCCTGCTAGAGACAGAAAAGAGAGAGGGAGGAATAGAGAGAGAGGGATAGCAAGAAAGAGAGAGAGAGAGAGAGAGAGAGAGAGAGAGAGAGAGAGAGAGAGAGAGAGAGAGAGAGAGAGAGAGAGAGAGAGAGAGAGAGAGAGAGAGAGAGAGGAGAAAGAGAGAGAGAGGAGAAAGATACCCACGTACTGACATTGACCTCTAAAGGAAGCATAATGTGATATAAATTCTGAAATAGTAATAGACATATCTCTGCATCACTATCTCTATGTAACATATATAGGGGAGATTTTTAAGTGAACTTCCCTCGCATGATGACTAATCATGCCTTAGACCTGAATATAAGTATTAGCTCAGAGGGCTGACTCAGTATTGAGTTGTGTAGCTGACCTGGCTTTGATACTCGGACGGTGAAGTAATGCATTCAGCCTGTATCTCCATGTTTATTTATATCTCTATCTCCATCTCTCTATCCCCTACAGATATTCTGTATCCTTTCTTCATGCTTCTTCATCTCTATCTTCTATCTGTCGTATCAGTTTGGCCTGACAGTGAACTCCAACAGGTAGACTTACAGTGCACTGGACTTCATAATATATACAGGTGTATGATGTTAATTTGATCACCCTGTTGTTGCAGGAAATTTCTTGCAGTGTATTCAAGGTTTAAAAAGGCTTCTAAAGTTTTAATTTCCACTTTAAAATGTCAGACTTCATTTGCCCTAACAAAACATGTATCAATCCCTACAAAAATGTCCATTAATTATAATTCACAGAAAAATGCAGATTTCCTGTTGATGGAGCATTATTTTCCTGCTGGGAGAAACCGGCAAAATTAAGATCCTACACCTGTGCATACTGTAGGGCCCTTTATCATGGCCACAAAACCGGACCAGGAAAAACGCTGGACCCCAAGTTAGATCCTCTAGAATAGGTCCAGGAGTTTTTCTTGGTCAAGTCATGTAGTCAGGGAAAACTCAGGGGCCTCATAATATCTACAAATGCTATCTTGCTCTCTTTTTCCCTCCACCCTTTTCTAACATCTTCCTCAGTCTCCTTGTCTTCTGTGCTTTCTTTGGTTTTATACAGTGCATTCGGAAAGTATTCAGACCCCTTGACTTTTTCCACATTTTGTTACGTTACAGCCTTATTCTAAAATAGATACAATTATCCCATAATGACAAAGCAAAAACATGTTTTTAGATAAAAAAAAACCCAAACATAAATATCTTATTTGCATAAGTATTCAGACCCTTTGCTATGAGACTCAAAATTGAGCGCAGGTGCATCCTGTTTCCATTGATCATCCTTGAGATGTTTCTACAACTTGATTGGAGTCCACCTGTGGTAAATTCAATTGATTGGACATGATTTGGAAAGGCACACACCTGTCTATATAAGGTCCCACAGTTGACAGTGCATGTCAGAGCAAAAACCAAGCCATGAGGTCGAAGGAATTGTCCGTAGAGCTCAGAGACAGGATTGTGTCGCGGCACAGATCTGGGGGAGAAGGGCCTTGGTCAGGGAGGTGACCAAGAACCCGATGGTCACTCTGACAGAGCTCGACAGTTCCTCTGTGGAGATGGGAGAACCTTCCAGAAGGACAACCATCTCTGCAGCACACCAATCAGGTCTTTATGGTAGAGTGGCCAGATGAAAGCCACTCCTCAGTAAAAGGCACATGACAGCCCGCTTGGAGTTTGCCAAAAGGCACCTAAAGGACTCTCAGACCATGAGAAACAAGATTCTCTGGTATGATGAAACCAAGATTGAACTCTTTGGCCTGAATGCCTAGCGTCACGTCTAGAGGAAACCTGGCACCCTCCCTATGGTGAAGCATGGTGGTGGCAGCATTGTGCTGTGGGGATGTTTTTCAGCGGCAGGGACTGGGAGACTAGTCAGGTTCGAGAGAAAGATGAACGGAGCAAAGTACAGAGAGATCCTTGATGAAAACCTGCTTCCAACAGAACAACGACCCTAAGCACACAGCCAAGACAACGCAGGAGTGGCTTTGGGACAAGTCTCTGACCTGGTGCCAACAAAGACGTCGGCCTTGCGACTAGCTCTTAGGAAACTTTGCGGTATTTTGTTTTTTTAAGTATTATTTTTTACATTATTAGCTCAGAAAGTGTTTTGTATCATTACATACAGCCGGGAAAAACTATTGGATATCAGAGCGGCGGTAACTCACCAGCATTACGACCAGGAATACGACTTTCCCGAAGCAGATCCTTTGTTTGCTCTCCCCAGGGCAATCGAACTGATTCCAGCGGCTGACCCAAAACATCGCCGGTGGAGGAGAAGCACTCGGAGCGGCCTTCTGGTTCGACTTAGGAGGCGCGCACACCACCCACCGCTTCCAAGTATATTACTCGCTAATGTTTAGTCTTTGGATAACAAGGTCGACGAGCTCAGGGCAAGGATTGTTTCACGGAAACATGGTTCTCTGGGCATATTCTGTCGAAATCGGTCCAGCCAGATGGGTTCTCAGTTCATCGCACAGACAGAAATACATCTCTCCAGGAAGCAGAAGGGCGGAGGTGTGTGTTTCATGATTAACGACTCGTGGTGTAATTGTAGTAACATACAGGAACTCAAGTCCTCCTGTTCACCCGTCCAGGAATACCTCACAATCAAATGCCGACCGCATTATCTCCCAAGATAATTTTCTTTGGTTATAGTCACGGCCGTGTATATCCCCCCTCAAGCCGATACTACGATGGCCCTCAAAGAACTTCACTGGACTTTATGCAAACTGGAAACCATATATCCTGAGGCTGCATTGTAGCCGGGGATTTTAACAAAGCAAATTTAAGGAGTAGGCTGCCGAAGTTCTATCAACATATCGACTGTTGTATTCAGGCTGCTAAAATCCTTGACCATTGCTATTCGAACTTCCGGGGTGGCTACAAGGCCCTCCCCCGCCCTCCTTTCGGCAAATCTGACCATGACTCCATTTTGCTCCTCCCTTCCTATAGGCAGAAACTCAAACAGGAAGTACCCGTGCTAAGGACTATTCAACGCTGGTCTGACCAATCGGAATCCACGCTTCAAGATTGTTTTGATCACGCGGACTGGGATATGTTCCGGGTAGCTTGCGAAAATAATTTTGACAAATACACTGAAACGGTGACTGAGTTTATCAGGAAGTCTATAGGATATGTTGTCCCACTGTGATTATTAAAACCTACACTAACCAGAAACCGTGGATAGATGGCAGCATTCGCGCAAAATTGAAAGTGCGAACCACCGCATTTAACCATGGCAAGGTGACTGGGAATATGGCAGAATACAAACAGTGTAGCTACTCACTCTGCAAGGCAATTAAACTGGCAAAACATCAGTTCTACTGGCCTGTAGAGAGTAGAGAGCTCTGAGTGTTTTGGACTGGCCTGTAGAGAGTAGGGAGCTGTAGGGAGCTCTGAGTGTTTTGGACTGGCCTGTAGAGAGTAGGGAGCTGTAGGGAGCTCTGAGTGTTTTGGACTGGCCTATAGAGAGTAGGGAGCTGTAGGGAGCTCTGAGTGTTTTGGACTGGCCTGTAGAGAGTAGAGACCTCTGAGTGTTTTGGACTGGCCTGCAGAGAGTAGAGAGCTCTGAATGTTTTGGACTGGCCTGTAGAGAGCTCTGAGTGTTTTGGACTGGCCTGTAGAGAGTAGGGAGCTGTAGGGAGCTCTGAGTGTTTTGGACTGGCATGTAGAGAGTAGGGAGCTCTGAGTGTTTTGGACTGGCCTGTAGAGAGTAGAGAGCTCTGAGTGTTTTGGACTGGCCTGTAGAGAGTAGAGAGCTCTGAGTGTTTTGGACTGGCCTGTAGAGAGTAGGGAGCTGTAGGGAGCTCTGAGTGTTTTGGACTGGCCTGTAGAGAGTAGGGAGCTGTAGGGAGCTCTGAGTGTTTTGGACTGGCGTGTAGAGAGTAGGGAGCTCTGAGTGTTTTGGACTGGCATGTAGAGAGTAGAGAGCTGTAGGGAGCTCTGAGTGTTTTGGACTGGCCTGTAGAGAGTAGAGAGCTCTGAGTGTTTTGGACTGGCCTGTAGAGAGTAGAGAGCTCTGAGTGTTTTGGACTGGTCTGGAGAGAGTAGAGAGCTGTAGGGAGCTCTGAGTGTTTTGGACTGGCCTGTAGAGAGTAGAGAGCTCTGAGTGTTTTGGACTGGCCTGCAGAGAGTAGAGAGCTCTGAATGTTTTGGACTGGCCTGTAGAGAGTAGGGAGCTCTGAGTGTTTTGGACTGGCCTGTAGAGAGTAGAGAGCTCTGAGTGTTTTGGACTGGCCTGTAGAGAGTAGAGAGCTCTGAGTGTTTTGGACTGGCCTGTAGAGAGTAGAGAGCTCTGAGTGTTTTGGACTGGCCTGTAGAGAGTAGGGAGCTGTAGGGAGCTCTGAGTGTTTTGGACTGGCCTGTAGAGAGTAGGGAGCTGTGAGTGTTTTGGACTGGCCTGTAGAGAGTAGGGAGCTGTAGGGAGCTCTAAGTGTTTTGGACTGGCCTGTAGAGAGTAGGGAGCTGTAGGGAGCTCTGAGTGTTTTGGACTGGTCTGTAGAGAGTAGGGAGCTCTGAGTGTTTTGGACTGGTCTGGAAGAGAGTAGAGAGCTGTTGGGAGCTCTGAGTGTTTTGGACTGGCCTGTAGAGAGTAGAGAGCTCTGAGTGTTTTGGACTGGCCTGCAGAGAGTAGAAGACTCTGAAGTTTGGACTGGCCTGTAAGAGTAGGGACTCTTGAGTGTTTTGGACTGGCCTGTATAGAGTAAGAGCTCTGATTGTTTTTTGGACCTGGCCTGCCAAGAGTAGAGACTCTGAAATGTTTTGGACTGGGCCTGTATAGAGTAGGGAGCTCTTGAGTTTTTTGGACTGGCTGTAGAGAGTAGAGAGCTCCTGATGTTTGGACTGGCCTGTAGAGAGTGAGAGCTCCTGAGTGTTTGGGACTGCGCCTGTAAGCGTAGGGAGCTTGTAGGGAGCTCTGTTGTTTCTGGACTGGCCGTAGAGAGTATGATCTGTAGCAGCTCGAGTTTATTGTGGACTGCCTGTGAGAGTAGGGAGCTGTAGGGAGTCTGAGTGTTTTGGACTGGCCCTGTAGAAGGTAGGGAGCTCTGAGTGTTTTCGGACTGGCATGTAGAGAGTAGAGAGCTGTAGGGGAGCTCTGAGTGTTTTTGGGCTGGCCTTATATAAGTAAAGAGCTCTGAGTGTTTTGGACTGGCCTGTAGAGAGTAGAGAGCTCTGATGTTTTGGACTGGCCTGTAGAGAGTAGGGAGCTGTAGGGAGCTCTGAGTGGTTTTGGACTGGCTGTAGAGAGTATGGGAGCTGTAGGGAGATCTGAGTGTTTTTAGGACTGGCCTGTAGAGAGTTAGGGAGCTCTGAGTGTTTTTGGACTGGGCATGGTAGAGTAGAGAGCTGTAAGGAGCTCTGAGTGTGTTGGACTGGACTGTAAGAGAGTAAGAGAGCTCTGAGTGTTTTGGACTGGCCTGCAGAGAGTAGAGAGCTCTGAATGTTTTGGACTGGCCTGTAGAGAGTAGAGACCTCTGAATGTTTTGGACTGCCTGCAGAGAGTAGAGAGCTCTGAATGTTTTGGACTGGCCTGTAGTAGAGAGCTCTGAGTGTTTTTGGACTGGCCTGTAGAGAGTAGGAGAGCTCTGAGTGTTTTGGACTGGCCTGTAGAAGAGAGGGGTCGCTGAGTGTTTTTGGACTGGCTGTGAAGTAGAGTAGCTCTTAGTGTTTTGGACTGGTTCCTGGAGAGAGTAGAGAGCTCTCTGAGTGTTTTTGACTGGCCCTGTAGAAGTAGATAGCTCTGAAGTTTTGGACTGCCCTGTAGAGTAGAGCGGCCGGTGTTATTTGGACTGGCTGTTAGAGAGTAGGGAGCTTGTAGAGGACTTGAGTGTTATTTTATGGACTGGCCTGTAAAGAGTACAGGGAAAGCTGTTAGGGAGGCCTCGAGCTTTTTTGACGGGCGTGTACGAGAGGTAGGGATGCTCTGAGTGTTTTTTGACTGGCCTGTAGAGATTAGAGAGCTGTGGGAGCTCTGATTGTTTTGGATGGCCTGAGAGAGTAGATCGGCTTCGAATGTGTGGACGGCCTGGTAGAGAGTATGGGCTCTGAGTGTTTTTGTCTGGCCTGTAAAGAGTAAGAGCTTGAGTTGTTTTTGTACTGTATGCCTGTTAGAGGTAGAGAGCTCGAGTGTTTTGGACTGGCCTGTAGATGAGTAGAGAGCTCTTGTGTGTTTTGGGACTGCCATGTAGAGAGTAGGGAGCTGTCAGGAGCTCTGACTGTGTTTTGACTGGCCTTTTAGAGAGTAGGTCGAGCGTAGGGAGCTCTGAGTGTTTTGGACTGGCCTGTGGAGAGTATGGAGCTCTGAGTGTTTTGTACTGGCATGTAGAGAGTAAGAGCTGTAGGGAGCTCTGAGTGTTTTGGACTGGCCTGTAGAGTAGTAGAGACTCTGAGTGTTTTGGACTGCCTGTAGAGAGTAGAGAGCTCTGAGTGTTTTGGACTTGGCTTAGAGAGTATGGAGCTGTATAGGTACTCTGAGTGTTTTGGACTGCGCCTGGTGGAAGTAGGGAGCTGTAGGGAGCTCTGAGTGTTTGGACTGGGCCTGTAAAGTAGGGAGCTCTGATGTTTTGGACTGGCATGTAGAGAGTAGAGAGCTGTTGGAGCCTGAATGTTTGACGGCCTGTAGAGAGTAAGAGCTCTGAATGTTTTGGACTGTCACTAGAGAGTAGAGAGCTCTTGAGTGTTTTGGACTGGGCCTTTAGACAGTAGGGAGCTGTAGGAGCCTCGGATGTTTTGGACTGGCCTGTAGAGAGTAGGGAGCTGTTAGGGATCTCTGAGTGTTTTGACTGGCCTGTAGATAGTAGGGAGCTGTAGGGGAGCTCTGAGTTTTTGAACTGGCCTGTATAGAGGTAGGGAGCTGTGAGTGTTTTGGACTTGCCTGTAGAGCGTAGGGAGCTGTAGGGAGCGCTGTGTTTTGGACTGCCCTTTAAAGTAGGGAGCTCTGATGTTTTGGACTGGTTCGGGAGAGACGCTAGAGAGCTGTTGGGAGCTCTGGGGTTTTTTGGACTGGCCTTTGGCATAGTATAGAGCTCTGAGTGTTTGGACTGGCCTGTAGAGACTGTGTAGGGAGCTGTAGAGCTCTGATTGTTTTTGGACTGTATAGAGTAGGTCGTCTGTAGGGAGCCTCTGAGTGTTTGGACGGTGCTGTAGAGAAGTAGGAGTCTGTAGGGAGCTCTGAGTGTTTTGGACTGGCCTGTAGAGAGTAGGGAGCTCTGAGTGTTTTTGGACTGGCATGTAAGAGTAAAGATAGCTGTAAGGAGGCTCTGATGTGTGTTTTGGACTGGGCCTGTAGAGAGTAGAAGCGTCTGAGTGTTTGGACTGCGGCCTGCAGAGGTAGAGAGCTCTGAATGTTTTGGACTGGCCTGAGAGAGTGGAGAGCTTGAGTGTTTGGACTGCCGGTAGGAGTATGGAGCTGTAGGGAGCTCGGAGTGTTTTGGACGGGCCAGTACACGAGTAGAGAGCTCTGAGTTTTTTGGGATCTGTCCTTAGCAGAGTATGGAGCTTTGAGTGTTTGGACTGGCACATAGAGAGTAGAGCGCGTACTGGAGCTCTGAATGCTTTTTGGAACTGTCCCTAAAGGTAGTAAGAGCTCTGCATGATTTTGGAACTGTCCTGTAGAGAGTAGAGCGCTCTGAGTGTTTTGGACTGGCCTTTAGAGTTAGGGAGCGTAGGGTAGCTCTGAGTGTTATTGGCCTGGCCTGTAGAGATTAGGGAGCTTGTAGGGAGCTCTGAGTGTTTTTTGGACTGGCCTGATAGAGTAGGGAGCTGTAGGTAGCTCTGATGTTTTGAACTGGCCTGTTAGAGAGTAGGAGCTGTGAGTGTTTGGGGACTGGCCTTTAGAGATTAGGGAGCTGTAGAGGGAGCTCTGATTGTTTGGGACTGGCTCTGTAGAGAGTAGGGAGCTCTGAGTCGTGTTTTGGACTGGTCGGGTAGAGAGTAGAGAATCTGCTTGGGAGCATCTGGGTGATTTGGCCTGCCTGTAGAGAGTAGAGAGCTCTGAGTGTTTTGTGTTGACGCCTGGTAGAAGTAGGAGCTGTAGAGGCTCTGATTGTTTTGGACTGTAGAGAGTAGGGATCTGTAGGGAGCTTCTGATGTTTTGGACTGGCCTGTATGAGGTAAGGAGCTGTAGGGGAGCTTGAGTGTTTGTTGGACTGGCCTGTAGAGAGTAGGGAGCTCTGAGTGTTTGGACTGGCAGTAAGAGTAGAGATCTGTAAGAGCTCTGAGTGTTTTGGAACCTGGCCTGTATAGTGTATAGAGTCTCGATTGTTTTGTGCTGGCTAGCAGAGATTAAGCAGAGCTCTGAATGTTTTGTGACTGGCCTGTCAAGCGTAGAGAGCTCTTAGTGTTTTGGACTGGCCTGTAGACAGAGTAGGGCTGTAGGGAGCTCTGAAGTGTTTTGGACTGGCCATAGCTAGTAGAGAGCTTCGGATTGTTTTGATCTGGCCTGTATACGAGTATAGGTACCTTCTGCAGTGTTTTGGACTGCCTTAGAGAGTAGGGAGCTGTAGTGAGCTCTGAGTGTTTTGGACTGGCGGCTGATAAAATAGATAGGGAGCTGTAGGGAGCTCTGAGTGTTTTTGACTGGCGTGTATAGATCTAGGGAGCCTGATTGTTTTGGACTGGCATGTAGAGAGTAGAGAAGGCCTCTTGAGTGTTTTTGGACTTGCCTGTAGAGAGTAAGAGAGCTCTGAGTGTTTTGGACTGGTCTGGACGAGAGTAGAGCGCTCTGAGTGTTTTAGACTCTAGCCTGTTAGAGAGTAGAGAGCTCTGAATGTTTTGGACTGGTCTGAGAAGTAGAGAGCTGATAGGGAGCTCTGATGTTTTGGACTGGCCTGTAGAGAGTAGAGAGCTCTTAGTGTTTTTGGCTGGCCGTGTCAGAGAGTAGAGGCTCTGAATGTTTTGACTCGCCTGTAGTAGAGTTAGAGAGCTCGGAGTGTTTTGGACTGACCGGGTAGAGAGTAGAGAGCTCTGAGTGTTTCTTGAATGGCCTGTAGAGAGTAGAGAGCTCTGAGTGTTTTGGGATGGCCCTGTAGAGAGTAAGAGCTTCTGAGTTTTTGGACGCCTGTAGAGAGTAGGGAGCTGTAGGGATTCTCTGAGTGGTTTTGGACTGGCTGTAGAGAGTAAGGGAGCTTGTGGAGCTCTGAGTTGTTTTGGACTGCCTGACAGAGAGTAGGGAGCGACTACGAGTGTTCTGTGGAGCTAGTCAAGAGAGTAGAGAGCTGTAGGGAGCTCTGAGTGTTTTTGCACTGGCCTGTAGAAGATTAGAGAGCTCTGAGTGTTTTGAACTGGCCTGTAATAGTAGAGAGCTCGAGTTTTTTGGACTGGCCTGTAGAGAGTAGGGCGCTGTAGGAGCTCTGAGTGTTTTGTGACTGGCCTGTATGAGACGTTAGGGAGCTGTAGTGGAGCTCTGAGTGTTTTGGACTGGCCCTTAGAGAGTAATGGGAGCTTGAGTTGTTTTGGACTGGCTGTAGAGAGTTAGGAGCTGTAGGGACTCTAAGTGTTTTGGACTGGCCTGTATAGAGTAGGGAGCTGTCGGGAGCTGCTGAGTTTTTGGACCAGGTTGTAGAGAGTAGGGAGCGTCTGATGTGTCTTTTGGGACTGGTCTGGAGAGAGTATCGAGCTGTTGGGAGCTCTGATGTTTTGGACTGGCCTGTAAGAGTAGATAGCTCTGAGTGTTTTTGGACTGGCCCTGCAGAGAGTAGAAGCTTCTGATGTTTTTGGACTGGCCTGTAGAGAGTAGGGCTTCTGAGTGTTTTGGACTTGGCCGGTAAGGTAGAGAGCTCTGAGTGTTTTGGACTGGCCTGTAGAGTAAGAGCCTGAGTGTTTTGGACTGGCCTGTAAGAGGTGAGAGAGCTCTGAGTGTTTTTGACTGGCCTGTAGAGAGTAGGGGAGCTGTAAGGGAGCTCTGATTGTTTTGACGGCCTGTAGAGATAGGGACTGTAGGGAGCTCTGATTGTTTGGACTGGCCCTGTATAGATAGGAGCTCTGAGTGTTTTGGACTGGCATGTAGAGAGTAGAGAGCTGTAGGGAGCTCTGAGTGTTTTGGGCTGGCCTGTAGAGAGTAGAAGAGCCGTGAGTGTTTGGACTTGGCCTGTAGATAGTAAGAGCTTTAGTGTTTTGCTGGGCCTTTAGAGAGTAGGATAAGCCTGTAGGGAGCTCGTACAGTGTTTTGGACTGGCCTGTCGAGAGTAGGGAGCTGTAGGACTCTGATGTTTTGGACTGGCCCTTTAGAGAGTAGGGATCTCTGAGTGTTTTGGACTGGCATGTAGAGAGTAGACGAGCTGTAAGGAGCTCTGAGTGTTTTGGACTGGCCTGTAGAGAGTAGAGAGCTCTGATTGTTTTGGCCTGGCCTGCATAGAGTAAGAGAGCTCTGAAGTTTTTGGACTGGCCGTAGAGAGTAGGGAGCTGTAGGGAGCTCTGAGTGTTTTGACTGGGCCTGTAGAGAGTAGGAGCTGTGAGTGTTTTGGACGCCCTGTAAGAGTAGGGAGCTGTAGGGAGCTCTAAGTGTTTTGGACTGGTGCCTGTAGAGAGTAGGAGCTGTGGGGAGCTCTCTGAGTGTTTTGGACTGGTCTGGTAGAGAGTAGGGAGCCTCTGATTTTTTGGACTGGTCTGGAGAGAGTAGGAGCTGTTGGAGCTCTGAGTGTTTTGGACTGGCCTGTATAGAGTAGAGAGCTCTGAGTGTTTTGACGGGCCTGCAGAGAGTCAGAGAGCTCTGAATGTTTTGGACTGGCCTGTAGAGAGTAGGGAGCTCTGAGTGTTTTTGGACTGGCCTGTAAGAGTAGAGAGCTCTGAGTGTTTTGGACTGTCCTGTAGAGAGTAGAGACTCTGAGTGTTTTGGACTGGCTGTAGAGAGTATAGAGCTCTGAGTGTTTTGGACTGGCCTGTAGAGAGTAGGGAGCTGTAGGAGCTCTGAATTGTTTTGTCACTGGCCTGTAGTCGAGTAGGGAGCTGTAGTGGCTCTGATTGTTTTTGGAACTGGCCTGTAGAGAGAGGGAGCTCTGGATTGTTTGGACTGGCATGTAGAGAGTTAGAGCTGTAGGGAGCTTCTGAGTGTTGTGGGCTGCCTGTAAGATAGAGCCTCTGATGTTTTGCTGGCCCTGTAGAAGTAGAGAGCTCTGAGTGTTTTTGGACTGCTGTATAGAGTAGGGAGCTGAGGGAGCTCTGAGTGTTTTTGGACTGGCCCTGTAGATATGGAGCTGTAAGGGAGCTCCTGAGTGTTTTTTGGACTGCCTGTAGAGAGTAGGGAGCTCTGAGTGTTTTGGACTGGCTTCTCCTCGAGTAGAGAGCTGTAAGGAGCTCTGAGTGTTTTGCACTGCCTGTAAGAGAGTAGAGACTCTGAGTGTTTTGGACTGGCCTGTAGAGAGTAGGGAGCTTTAGGGAGCTCTTAGTTGTTTTTTTGACTGGCCTTAGAGAGTAGTGATCTGTAGGGAGCGCTCGTGTTTTGGACGTGCGCCTGTTAGAGAGTAGGGGGAGGCTGTGAGTGTTCGGACTGGCCTGCGAGAGTAGGTAGCGTAGGGAGCTCTAAGTGTTTTGGACTGGCCTGTAGAGAGTAGGGGCTGTAGGGAGCGCTGAGTGTTTTGGACTGTCTGTAGAGAGTAGGAGCTCTGAGTGTTTTTTTGGACGGTCTGGATGATATAGAGATCTTTGTAGGACTCTGAGTGTTTTGGACTGGCCTGAGAGAGTAGAGAGCTCTGATGTTTCTGGACTGGCCCTGCAGAGAGAGAGGGCTCTGATGTTTTGGACTGGCCTGTAGAGAGTTATGGAAGCTCTGAGTGTTTTTGACTGGCCTGTAGATCGTAGAGAGCTCTGAGTGTTTTGTACTTGGCCTGTAGAGACTAGAGAGTCTGAGTGTGTTGGACTGGGCCTGTAGAGATAGAGAGCTCGGTGTTTTGGACTGGCCGGTAGAGAGTAGGGAGCTGTAGGAGCTCTGATTGTTTTTGGACTGGCCTGTAGAGAGTGGATCTGTAGGGAGCTCTTGGTGTTTTTGGACTGGCCTGTAAGAGTGGGAGCTCTGAGGTTTTGGACTGGCCTGTAGAGAGTATGAGACTTAGGGGAGCTCTGAGTGTTTTGGGCTGGCCTGTAGAGAGTTAGAGAGCTCTGAGTGTTTTTGGACTCTGCCTTAGAGAGTATAGAGCTCTGAGTGTTTTGGACTGGCCTGTAGAGAGTGGGAGCTGTAGGGAGCTCTGAGAGTGTGTGGATGGTCCTGTGAGATAGGGAGCTGTCGGGAGCGCTGAGTGTTTTGGCTGGCCTGTAGAGAGGTAGGGAAGCCTCTGATTTTTGGACTGGCATGTGAGAGTAGAGAGCTGTAAGGAGGCTCTGAGTGTTTTGGACTGGCTCTGTAGAGAGTAAGAGCTCGGAGGGTTTTGGACTGGCCTCGAGAGTCAGAGAGCCTCTGAATGTTTGTTTTTTTTTTTTGGTGACGTGGCCTGTAGAGAGTAAGAGATCCCATCTGAGTGTTTTTGACTGGCCTGTCAGAGAGTATAGAGCTTCTGAATGTTTTGGACTGCCTGTAGCGAGCTCTGTGTGTTTTTTGGACTGGCCGTCCATAGAGTAGGGATCTGTAGGAGCTCTGAGTGTTTGGACTGGCCTGTATATAGTAGGGAGCTCTGAGTGTTTTGGACTGGGCCTTGAGAAGTAGAGAGCTCTGAGTGTTTTGACTGCCTGGTAGAGAGTAGAGAGCTCTGAGTGTTTGGGACTGGGCCCGTAGAGAGTAGGGAGCTGTAGGGAGCTCTGAGTGTTTTTGGACTGGCCTGTAAAGTAGTAGGGACTGTAGGGAGCTCTGAGTGTTTTTGGACTGGCGTGGTAAGAGAGTAGGGAGCTCTGAGTGTTTTGGGACTTGGCAGGTAGAGATTAGAGAGCTGTAAGAGAGCTCTGAGTGTTTGGACTGGCCTGTAGAGAGTAGACAGCTCTGAGTGTTTGGACTGGTCTGGAGAGTAGAGAGCTGTAGGGAGCTCTGAGTGTTTTGGACTGGCCTGTAGAGATTAGAGAGCTCTGAGTGTTTTGGGACTGGCCTGCAGAGAGGTAGAGAGCTCTGAATGTTTTGGACTGGCCTGTAGAGAGTAGAGAGCTCTGAATGTTTTGGACTGGCCTGTAGAAGCTCTTGAGTGTTTTGGAACTTGGCCTGTAGAGTAAGGGAGCTGTAGGGAGCTCTGAGTGTTTTTGGACTGGCCTGTAGAGAGTAGGGAGCTGTAGGAGCTCTGAGTGTTTTGGACTGGCCTGTAGAGAGTAGGGAGCTCTGAGTGTTTTGGACTGGCCTGTAGAGAGTAGGGAGCTGTAGGGAGCTCTGAGTGTTTTGGACTGGCCTGTAGAGAGTAGGGAGCTCTGAGTTTTTTGGACTGGTCTGTAGAGAGTAGAGAGCTGTAGGGAGCTCTGAGTGTTTTGGACTGGCCTGTAAAGAATAGAGAGCTCTGAGTGCTTTGGACTGGCCTGTAGAGAGTAGAGAGCTCTGAGTGTTTTGGACTGGCCTGCAGAGAGTAGAGAGCTCTGAATGTTTTGGACTGGCCTGTAGAGAGTAGGGAGCTCTGAGTGTTTTGGATGGCCTGTAGAGAGTAGAGAGCTCTGGCTGTTTTGGACTGGCCTGTAGAGAGTAGAGAGCTCTGAGTGTTTTGGACTGGCCTGTAGAGAGTAGGGAGCTCTGAGTGTTTTGGACTGGCATGTAGAGAGTAGAGAGCTGTAGGGAGCTCTGAGTGTTTTGGACTGGCCTGTAGAGAGTAGAGAGCTCTGGGTGTTTTGGACTGGCCTGCAGAGAGTAGAGAGCTCTGAATGTTTTGGACTGGCCTGTATAGAGCTCTGAGTGTTTTGGACTGGCCTGTAGAGAGCTCTGAGTGTTTTGGACTGGCCTGTAGAGAGTAGGGAGCTGTAGGGAGCTCTGAGTGTTTTGGACTGGCCTGTAGAGAGTAGGGAGCTGTAGGGAGCTCTGAGTGTTTTGGACTGGCCTGTAGAGAGTAGGGAGCTCTGAGTGTTTTGGACTGGCCTATAGAGAGTAGGGAGCTGTAGGGAGCTCTGAGTGTTTTGGACTGGCCTGTAGAGAATAGAGAGCTCTGAGTGTTTTGGACTGGCCTGTAGAGAGTAGAGAGCTCTGAGTGTTTTGGACTGGCCTGCAGAGAGTAGAGAGCTCTGAATGTTTTGGACTGGCCTGTAGAGAGTAGGGAGCTCTGAGTGTTTTGGACTGGCCTGCAGAGAGTAGAGAGCTCTGAATGTTTTGGACTGGCCTGTAGAGAGCTCTGAGTGTTTTGGACTGTAGAGAGCTGTAGAGAGTTATGAGTGTTTTGGACTGGCTTGTAGAGAGTAGAAAGCTCAGAGTGTTTTGAAACGCAATAAACAGATAACATGTATTGTGATTATAGTCTCTCCCTCCTCCTGTCTCTTCCCACTCTCTCTCCTGTCTCTCCCTCTCTCTTATTCCTCTCCTCCTCCTCAGGCTTCAAAGAAAGGAGGAGGTTCAAATGCAGCAGTTACACAGAGGAGGAGAAAATGCGGCACAAAAACGGCAGACTGCAGACAAACAACCTCAAACACACACAA